AGAACATTTGGTCTATCCTAGGAAACAAACTGTCTGCATTTAAAAATATTTTGCTTATAGGGAACAATTAGCAATGTTAATTCATCATCATTCACCCCCATTTTTGTTGTATATTTTACTTTGTCATCCTGAAATTATAGTTTCTTCCTATTCACTCACACCTATATGCTCCTGAAGAGTTAAAAAGCATCTTCAAAATTTGTATAACCAGGATCTGATATGCTTAACTGCTGTAAAATCAACTCCTACTACTAGCCTCTGTCTTTACTGCAAAATAAGGGTATAATCATGGTGGTAGCTATGTTGGCAGAATAACTCCCTTAACTATTAGCAATTAATCTGTGTTCAACTTTGGTGACAGATGCTAAAACTATTTCTAAGAGCAGTGACCATGTCATAACTTCACAGGGAATAAGAGCATACATGGAGTTGGACAGGTAATAGATGTGACTGAGAAACACATACATATGCGGTACGACGAAGCTACTGGTGAGAATAACCTTGCATTGCTACAACTTCGAGAGCACATTGAGTGCAACAACTATCAGCATTTTATATGTCTTCCTGACAAAGACTTTGCAGAACATGTTTTGATTCCACAGCTGACAGGCACTGTCAGTGGCTGGAAACAGGAAGAAAGTGAGGTGAGAGGTTCACTAGTTGTGTTGCAGGTCTCCTACCTTCCTGAAAGGGAATGTGAACAAATACTCAATACAAGTCTTACAAACAGACAGTATTGCGGACATCACCCAGAGCCTGTGGATGGGCAGCTGGCAGGAGGAAACTTTATCGCCCATGACTACAAAGGCACTTGGTTTCTGACAGGTATTTTTGGAGCTTGGCCAACTAATGTAAGTAACTGGGAACCATTTATTTTCACAAAGACTTCAAGATATATGATGTGGTTCAAACAAAAAACGGAATAAAAGAAAAAAGTCCTGACAGCACCAAATCCATAACTGCAATTACAAAGACCACGTGGATGCAGCAACTTGGTTTCAGCAAGGTCAACCTGCATTGTGTTGTAATGTTAATACTGTAAATATTTAACTGTAGTTCATCCCTCAAAACAAATCTATTGTCCAATCTGTCTTTTCTCTCCCTTTCCAAAGACAGGATTGAGGACTGGTGTAGTAGACATATGGCTACTTCACTTTGAAAATAATTAGGAGTTTGAATTTGTATAGCACTGTTCATCTACACTGATCCTAAGAGCCCTTAACTGATTGTGCATTACAAATAAATGAATCACTTTCCCCTCTCACTGAAGTGTCCCCATTGCTAGGGGGAAATGCAGCTACTGTTTCAGAGACCAGTGGTATATGGCCAAATCCTGCACAACTTTATTCATGTAAGTACTTGCAAAGCATCCCCCTGACTTTCTTAGGATTACTTGAGTAAAGATTTGCTGAATCACACCCTAGAATAGGAATAGTCTAAATCAGACATAGGTGAAGTGATTCCTTAAGTCACAATCACCCAGGTAGGCTACTCCAGGGGTAGCAACAAACTGGCCCTTGCTCTGGCCTCGATTGCCAATTGATAACCTTGCCCCATTTGAGCAAAATAAAAAGTGAATGCATCACTACCATGTGCTTTGTTCATCTGACAAGCATAATTTAGTTTTAATTATTGCTGATGCTTCATTGTATGTTTTGTAAAAGTAATGAAATCTCTGTAAGAGAAGAACTCACTGCAGTGCTCTGCATCTACATTCTTGCTATTGAGTAGGGACAGTCAAGTCAGAACAAGACAGTTGAAACAAAGTACTCCATTTTGATTCAAGTCCTTCTGCCCCAGAGAACTGACATGCTAAAGACAAGACAAACAGGTAAATGAGACAAGTGGGCTGAGGTGGAGGCCAGGGGAGATGGAGTTACAGACAGAATAGGCTGTATGCTACTCTTAGCCAATCAGGAGCAGTGATCACAACCCAGTCCCTGCCTCAGTTTTCTTTGTGCCCTACAGAAGAGGGGCATTTTGAATAGAGCACATCTATTTTCCTCACGGATCTTGCAGCACTGATGTCAATGGGAATGGGATTCAAAAATAAAGAGGCTTGGATCCTTTTTCCAGTACTGCATGTTTTAATTATCCACTCTCAAACACTCATTAAATATATACTCTTCATACTAGTACAACCTGCATGTGACACTTTCCCAACACTCTTAACAGGACACTTTGAGAAGTTAGATCTATGAATCCACACTACTATAAGAATGACTTAGGGCAGGTCTACACTTAGAGTGACGTGTAGTGGACAGATACTCTACGGCCAGCTAGCCCTGGTATAAATAGCAATGTAGCTGGTGAGGCATGGCTTAGGCAAATAGAGAAGAGGCAAGACAGAACCCAAGGTTATGTATCTACACGCCTCGCTACACACCCAAACAGTGCCTCCCTGTCTACACTGCTACTTTTAGCAGTGTAAGGTCCCCTGTTCTGGAGCCTTTCTCTGCCAAAGACTCTAGCAGCAGGGAAAGGGACTTCATATTTGAACTGATAATGAAATATCTCTCACCACTAGAGTCATGTTATTGTTGAAGTATGCAAAATCATTTTCAGCAGAAACAAAATAAAGCAAATGACTTTCTCACATGTCAAAACTAAGTCACTTGAACACCATTAGAAGCAAATTGCACAGAAATCAGAAGTACTGTTCTGTTTTCAAGTGCTACTGAAGTATATTTGTTGTATGCAGGTGGCAAAACAACCTGGGTTTGTAACTTTTAGTTCTTGTACTGTACAGAATAAGTTAGAACTTAACAGAACAATGAAAGCAGCCTGAATATCCCATTAAAATAATGTCAATCTAGGAAACTACTTACCTCACAAGTGCGTTAGTATTTTTTTTTTTTTTTACACCTATAATAATTTTATTGAAACTTTCATTATAAAGACTGTTAAATATCTTAGATGGTGTGTGCTGGTGCTAAAACAGTCTGGAATAAAATCATCACTGTCACCACCAAGAGAAAAATATCACATTTGTTTTATTATTTTTACAAAACCACCAGCATGAACAACAGGTATGCTGTGCAAAAATAAAGAACACTTAAAAGAATGGACCTACTGGCAGAAATATTCCACAAAATCAGAATTAAAATGGAGTTGGACTAGATTACCTAAATAAAGTCTTATGCCTCAAGGGGAAACTCAAACAAGTGTTAAGTACAGTTACTAAAGGCCAGTTTTGAGCAGCAATAGGTAACCACACCTCACACCCTGCTGTACACTCAAAAATCCTATTGAAATTGAAGTGAAGTTCCAGGGTTCAGCACCAATCAGGCACGGGTCCTTAATGTTTCGAGAGGCTTTGAAGAATGTCATATCCAACCAAGATTACTAAAAAAAACCAAAGTCTCTCATAACTGGGAGTTAGGTCAAGGACAGGTGAAATAAAAGCATTGTTTCTGCCTACAAAGAATGATTAAGTGCCACCGCTGGACACTTCCTTTTGACAGATAAGGACAAATAGTTACGGGAACATAAAGGGGTGTCAGTACACATGACATCTGAGATAGTTGAGGCAGGCTTTTTAAAGATTGTTGCTGAAATTTTGCAAATGTTTCAACATGAATTGGGAATGTTCTTGTTTCTTTTCCAGCCACAATACTTCAGTGTTTGTAGAAACTAACTTTAAAAAGGGAGCATTTTGTTCTCTGTGCTCGCAGGCCCTGTCCCACTGGGAAAGGAGTCATGAACAGTTTTTTTTGTATTCCAGTACTGAACATAAGCAGGTCATTAACAGTTTTCACTGAACGATTTAAGAAACAGTTCCATTGACAAGTAGAGTCTTTTATAAATACTCCTCCATCTAAGGTACAGTAAACTCAACAAACTGTAGAAAGTGGAGGGAATGGGTTCTGCTTACTGACCACAAGCTTCTGATGTTGATGAGATATATATCCTTTAATATGACCCTGACAGAATTAAAAAGAAAGACGTTTTAGTACTGGAAATTGGCAAGAAGTTTTTTTGCTACCTTCAGTCTTGATCCAGTAAAACTTGTGCGCATGCACTTAACTTTAAATTCGTGAGTAGTCCCATTGACTTCAAATAATATAAATAAAAGATAACTTAAGTGTGTGATTGACTTAATAAAAGTATAAAAATACTTTGCTACATAGGGACCTTAAACATGCCCATGAACTTTGAATTTGCTGTTTCTGACAAGTTTCAGAGTAGCAGCCGTGTTAGTCTGTATTCACAAAAAGAAAAGGAGTACTTGTGGCACCTTAGAGACTAACAAATTTATTTGAGCATAAGTGAGCTGTAGCTCATGAAAGCTTATGCTCAAATAAATTTGTTAGTCTCTGAAGTGCCACAAGTACTCCTTTTCTTTTTGTTTCTGACAAGCCTTCCTTGTAGTTCCCAATTTACATTTTGAGCTCTCACTACAAGAAAAGGACTATAAATTTCAAATCTATTCCTGGATTAAGATTTTAAGACCAAAGTTTTAATAACCTTTACACATAGAGTTTAACTAACTCATCTTTGTTCATGTGCACTAGACCCTTACAAGAGTCCAGTAAAATAATTTGTGTCTCTCCTTTTTACATCTTTTCCCTATAATTCAGCTTGTGAACTCTTATGTGTGCCTCTATTTTTAGGATGTCAAATCAGGAATCCCATGTCCAAATGAACTCAAATTTAGTATAAATATACTACCTGAGCCCTAGTCATAATTTACCAATTTTGTAACTGTGTTTGTGGATTTTAGCAAAAGGGCAAAGATTGGCTTTATAGTGGAAACTCAATTGTAATCCTTACTGTTTTGCATATAAAAGGCAAGAATTAGAGCATAAGAACCTTCACTGTAGTAAGATACATGAGAGGCACAAATGAGTACAAGTATAACGCACAAGCAACTCCACAAAAACCTAAACCCAGTACACTTCCTATTATTATTGCCCTTCTGTAATTAACCTTCCTGCTGTGTGTAGTCATTTCTAACAACTATAGTTTCCAAGGCAAGCTAATGAACGATGAACACATACCATGTATATAAGATTAGCCAAAATACACTGGACTTCATCAATATCAACATCTTCCACCTGCATAAATTTCAGGGCAACCAGAAAGGCATCTAGAGATAGCTGATGGGTTTTAAGTAGCAAATATCTGAAAGATGCAAACAGAAATACATTTCAGTTATTTCAGCAAAATTACCTCAAAATTCTGCTTCTCTGAGCAAAAGGGCCCTTCTACCATAATTTGCTTTGCTTAAGCTCTGGTCTCTAAGGGACAAATAGGGAACTAGGGACCCTGGATGTTTTAAACTGAATTCTGTGGTGAAACCAAATGAAGATTTCCCTTCCACAAAATAGGATTTCTACTTTGCTTACACTTTCTTAAACAGGTTCCTGTAGGTGATGATTTTCAGCTTCTCAAGGATCAGGAAGATACCACAACGAATGAAGAAGGTCTCGTGTTTTGTCAGAGCATCATTCAATAGCAGAAGATTTCCTTCACTAAAATGACAGAAAATATGCAAGTACCATGAGAAGGTATGACTCTGGGAAGATGAAATATATAATTCAATGGGTATTTTCCACATACTATAAAAACCTTTCACTTAATATTATTTTAACAAAAATACGTGATCCAATAAATACACTGTACCTCACAGCCTTAGTTACTTCAGCAAACTGCATAAGCTCATATTTTTTCAAAAGCTGAATTGTTGGCATATGGCCCTGAAAAGCAAGCACAGTTAAAATTTTTCAGGATAAATTTAAATACATTTCCAAATCAATCATCTATAAAAACAAAAATCCAAATACAAATATTTATCTACTTTACTTTTACAGAAAAAAATAAAGGAGGTGAATGAAGGTATTTTTAGGACCCCAATACACTACATCACTAATCATGCCAACAAACATTTGTCTGGCATAGTTACAGGAGTGTGGGTTTTAAAAGCTTTAAAAATATGGTAGTGTGATCAATTACAAAACTTGTATTACAGAGTAGGTCATGCTTCACATGATCTAGACTGTTACAAATTTTATACTTGTGTTGCACTCCACTCTGCAAACAGAAAACTGTTTTAGAACACACCACTAATCATGACAGGTGTGTGTCAGCACAGTTAAGATTATTGATTGTCTAACCAGACATATTTTCCTTAATTTCTCTTTGTGGATTTTTAATGTCCTTTTATTAAAAAAAAAAAAAAAAAAAAAGTTAGTTTGAAGAGAGAAAACTCATTCTCATTGTATCAGGTCTGATGAGACTTTGAACCACAGACAGTACCAAAAAGGAACTCCTTTTTAATTTACACGGCAGAGATTAGATTGCACACCAACCCAGTCAGCACTGAAACATAGCTACTTGGCTACTATGCCAGTGGTAGCCCCTTTACTGGTTGAAGAATCAGATGAGATGTGAAACAGAACTCTACGTTGCATGTTTCTAGCTAACTCTCAGTGAACAAAGAGCCACTTGTGCTATTTTAGTACATTTTTAAATAAGTGTAAAGTTTGGAAGCTGATAATGATCTTGCCAAGCTGGACTTTCTTTATGGCAAAACTGCTCTAGAAGAGAGAAGACAGTAATTTAAGGTACTAAATGATTTGGTTATCAGAAGCCTTGCATTGCTGTTTCAGGCCACTAATAATGGGTTTAGCATTCTCATCCTAGTCCCCATTTCACAAGACTGCCTCATTTAATGTAATTAGTCATAACTGCTCAAAAGAGCTCCAAGACTGGGGAAAAAAAAGGAAGGAATGAATTTATCAAACATCAGAATTGAAGTTCTCTAACTGGAAATTCCTCTAGCACCTTCAGAGGGTATATACACACCAGGTAAGGGAGGGGCATGATGGAAGGAATCTTCCTCTTCAGGCTGTGGACCTGCTCAGGTAGACTATGCAGGCCTTTACATACACTCTTTCTCTTGTGGGGTGAGAAAATGGAAGGATCTGCTGTGATGGACCTGCGCGTGCACACAGACACAGTCCACACTTACACAGGGGACTCCTAGGGAGCTATAATCCTGCACTCCTCTTACACACTGAAATGGCATCATTTACACTGCTATGGGTGCCTTTGTTGCTATGAAGCTAGGAGCAGAATTTGGAATTAAGAGGTGTGTGGAGAATCATGCTTATTAATTATTTAAGGGGGTAATTTACAAGTTCAAATTTTTTTAGGGTTGTAATTTTATTCCCCCTTTTCTGCCATTACAAAAATTACAATTCAACAGTTTCAAGTAAGTGCTTGACAAACCGTATTCCTCGGCCTTGACCATACAAGGTCTGCATGAGCTGACTCCTGCATCTGGATGGGGCTCCAGACAGCTTCTGAATAAAAATCAGGGGAAGTCATGCCATAGTGTGTGACAGCTTGGTCATTTGTCCCACAGTGACTGATTTGGAAGTAAAGAGCTAAACCACTCACCAATAACATTTTTACTGGCAAAAGGTAAATCAAAATCATCCTTTTGTTTTTCTGACTTGAACGGTGACAATGCTCAAAGGCGAATGACAGATACTCTTCAGCTGTAGACACAGAAAGAGGATCAGCACTGCTGTTGGTAACAGAGACCAACAGCAAAAATGGGTTAAACATACAAATAGTCAAACAATAATATGTTTAACTGAGCCTGTCAGAATATTTTCTCCCATATTTAGAATAACCTAGAAGTATTCACACAAGAACTATGTCAATCTAAATTGCACACTAACTAAAAGGGTAATATAAACATAAATGCCTTAAGAATTGTTAGATTCACTGAAAATGGGACATTATCATAAAAACTATTTCCTTTTTAAAAGATATGCTGACACTCTACATTTCGGATGGAGCAGTTGCACAATCAAACTACATTATGAAAACAATTCCAGCTCAATATAGCAAGGTTATTGTGTTACTGTTACAGGAGAGGGAGAATTTCAGGATATTTACGTTTCTACATGCTATGACATTTTCCAAAATGATGTGTTAGGACTCTTCTTCAGGGGAGTTAGATGGCATATAATGTGTAAACGTATGCCCAAGTTGCGCAAGTGACTATAAAAGACTGACAAGCAAAGGATTAGAAATGTTCTTACCTGCAAAGGGCTATATTGTGCAACCTTACTCATGGGGCACTCAAGCAAGTAGCCCCAGCACTCACCAACATGAGTGAAGGCTGCACAGTCTAGCCCTAAAGCAGTGGTTCTCAACCAGGGATACGTGTCCCCCTTGGGGTACTCAGAGGTCTTCCAGAGGGTACATCTAGATATTTGCCTAGTTTTACAACAGGCTACATAAAAAGCACTAGCAAAGTCATAGAATCATAGAATATCAGGGTTGGAAGGGACCTCAGGAGGTCATCTAGTCCAACCCCCTGCTCAAAGCAGGACCAATCCCCAATTAAATCAACCCAACCAGGGCTTTGTCAAGCCTGACCTTAAAAACTTCTAAGGAAGGAGATTCTACCACCTCCCTAGGCAACGCATTCCAGTGTTTCACCACCCTCCTAGTGAAAAAGTTTTTCCTAATATCCAACCTAAACCTCCCCCACTGCAACTTGAGACCATTACTCCTTGTCCTGTCCTCTTCTACCACTGAGGACAGGACAAACTAAAGGTCATTACAAACTGACCACTGAGGTCAGTACAAACTAAAATTTCATACTACTTGTTTTTACTGCTCTATATACTATACGCTGAAATTTAAGTACAATATTTATATTCCAATTGATTTGTTTTATAATAATATGGTAAAAATGAGAAAGTAAGCAATTTTTCAGTAATAGTGTGCTGTGACATTTTTGTGTCTGATTTTGTAAGCAAGTAGTTTTTAAGTGAGGTGAAACTTGGGGTAAGCAAGACAAATCAGACTCCTGAAAGAGGGACAGTAGTCTGGAAAGTTTGAGAGCCACAGCCCTAAAGTATCATATAATGTTATTACTGAGAAAGGTTAAATAAAGCTACAATGTGCCTTCAAAATCAGTGCACCAAGAAGCTAAATTGTATGGCAAAGTTTGTTGAAAGTCTGCTGAACAAGCGACATCCGAAAGGGCAAGAAAGCTGTAAAGTTCTACAAACATCTCTTATATACATAAATCACAAGGTATCTTGCTGGACACTCACCCAGAAAACACATTTTAGTAACTTGTGTACTAAATGTATAAAGTGTACGCTAAAGAAGAGTTTGGAGAAGTAAATAGTTCAAGACTGAGTGTATGTTGAAATGAGAATTGTAATGTAATCCATACTCTAATCTGGTTGAGCCTGCAGCAAATCCCTTTGGATCTTGTCTTTGCACTGACGGAACGAAAGTCACGCTTCACAACAACTGTGCTTTCCACAACAGGTTTTGAGTCACACATAGAACACGTCAGCTGGAGGTCACTCCCAGCAGTGAGAATATAAATCTGTTCTACTGGCATATAGTACCTTGCTTAAAATCACTGTCAAACATGGCCTTGCGTCCAACGTAGTATTTGTATGTAACTCTCTGTGCCATGCTGTAGTCATCTTTCAAATTTGAGCTGTCAATAGCTCTAATTAATGGTTTACACAGATGAAGTTTGTTAATCTGAGAAGAAAGTCACATGATTGAAAGGTATATCAATGTAGCACTATGTGAGGAACAGGACTTGATTTAGAACATGAAATACAAAGAAAACAAGCTTAGTAGACTTGGATCATACCTTAAAATAGATTTTAAACAGCTGATTCACCAGAAACAACATGCCCCACTTTTTGGAGTCATCAATGCCAGCTCGACTGTAACAAAAGATAAAACATTAGAAATGAATGTTTTAGGAAAATACATATTTTGCTTTTAGAATGAAATCCCCTCACACGCCTTTGATCCATATTTTTTAAAACAAGTGGTCTTACATTACTACCAAACAAAAACAAGCCAAAAATTCCTTGTAAATTTTAGACCATGCAATCTTCATCAAAATAGAGCGCCCAATCCCATTTCTGTCCTATAATCCTCGTTAATTTTAAGATTGCTCAACTGTGTTCCCCCATCAATGCAATCACTTCAAATCAAGAAAGTCACCTAGGAAGACAAGGGTATCCACCCCAATCTCAAGTCACCTATCTTACCATTCACACACTTCCAAAATAAGCCATCAACAATGTATACGCCCACCTCCTCAGAATTTCACTCAATGCACAACCTTAACTCCAATCACAGCAAGATGAAGGATCTTACAGAGAGACATGATTTTACTCTGAAATTCTACATAGTGTTTATTTCTTCTTAAATACTCAGACTGGAGTTAAGTTTGTATACTTGGCCCTGGTCTACACTAGGAGTTGAGGTCGAATTTAGCAGCATTAAATCGATTTAACCCTGTACCCGTCCACACGATGAAGCCCTTTTTTTTTTTTACTTAAAGGGCTCTTAAAATCAATTTCCTTACTCCACCCCCGACAAGGGGATTAGCGCTTAAATTGGCGTTGCTGGGTCGAATTTGGGGTACTGTGGACGCAATTAGACGGTATTGGCCTCTGGGAGATATCCCAGAGTGCTCTATTGTGACCGCTCTGGACAGCACTCTCAACTCAGATGCACTGGCCAGGTAGACAGGAAAAGGCCCGCAAACTTTTGAATTTCAATTTCCTGTTTGCATGGTCACATGCAGCTTGCCACGCTGGCCAGAGCTCATCAGCAGAGGTGACCATGCAGAGCTCATCAGCAGAGGTGACCATGATGGAGTCCCAGAATCGGCAAAAGAGCTCCAGCATGGACCGAACAGGAGGTACAGGATCTGATCGCTGTATGGGGAGAGGAATCCGTGCTATCAGAACTCCGTTCCAGTTTTTGAAATGCCAAAACATTTGTCAAAATCCCCCAGGGCATGAAGGACAGAGGCCATAACAGGGACCCGAAGCAATGCCGCGTGAAACGTAAGGAGCTGAGGCAAGCCTACCAGAAAACCAGAGAGGCAAACGGCCGCTCCGGGTCAGAGCCCCAAACATGCCGCTTCTATGATGAGCTGCATGCCATTTTAGGGGGTTCAGCCACCACTACCCCAGCCGTTGTTTGACCCCTTCAATGGAGATGGAGGCAACACAGAAGCAGGTTTTGGGGACTAGGAAGATGATGATGATGAAGTTGTAGATAGCTCACAGCAAGCAAGCAAGCGGAGAAACCGGTTTTCTCGACAGCCAGGAACTGTTTCTCACCCTGGACCTGGAGCCACTACCCCCTGAACCCACCCAAGGCTGCCTCCCAGACCCACCAGGCGGAGAAGGGACCTCTGGTGAGTGTACCTTTTAAAATACTATACATGGTTTAAAAGCAAGCATGTTTAATGACTAATTTGCCCTGGCATTTGCAGCTCTCCTGGATGTACTCCCAAAGCCTTTGCAAAAGGTTTCTGGGGAGGGCAGCCTTATTCCGTCCACCATGGTAGGACACTTTACCACACCAGGCCAGTAGCACGTACTCGGGAATCATTGTAGAACAAAGCATTGCAGCGTATGTTTGCTGGCATTCAAACAACATCCGTTCTTTATCTCTCTGTGTTATCCTCAGGAGAGTGATATCATTCATGGTCACCTGGTTGAAATAGGGTGCTTTTCTTAAGGGGACATTCAGAGGTGCCCGTTCCAGCTGGGCTGTTTGACTGTGGCTGAACAAAAATGTTCCCTGCTGTTAGCCACGGGGAGGGGTGAGGGGCTAGCCACATGGTGGGGGGAAGCAAAATGCGACCTTGTAACGAAAGCACATGTGCTGTGTATGTAATGTTAACAGCAAGGTTTACCGTGAAAGAGTGTACCCATTGTTCTATAAAATGTGTCTTTTTAAATACCACTGTCCCTTTTTTTTTCTCCACCAGCTGCATGTGTTTCAAGGATCACAGAATCTTCTCCTTCCCAGAGGCTAGTGAAAATTAGAAGGCGAAAAAAACACACATGTGATGAAATGTTCTCTGAGCTTATGCTGTCCTCCCACACTGACAGAGCACAGATGAATACGTGGAGGCAGACAATATCAGAGTGCAGGAAAGCACAAATTGACCAGGAGGAGAGGTGGCAGGCTGAAGAGAGTAAGTGGTAGGCTGAAGAGAGGGCTGAAGCTAAAAGGTGGCGGCAGTGTGATGAGAGGAGGCAGGATTCAATGCTGAGGCTGCTGCAGGATCAAACCAATATGCTCCAGCGTATGGTTGAGCTGCAGGAAAGGCAGCAGGAGCACAGACCGCTGCTACAGCCCCTGTGTAACCAACCACCCTCCTCCCCAAGTTCCATAGCCTCCTCACCCAGACGCCCAAGAACACGGTGCAGGAGCCTCCGGCCACCAGCCACTCCACCCAGAGGATTGCCCAAGCAACAGAAGGCTGGCATTCAATAAGTTTTAAACTTTTAAAGTGCTGAGAGCCTTGTCCTTCCCTCCTCCACCACCCCTCCTGGTGCTACCTTGGTAGTTATCCCCCTATTTGTGTGATGAATGAATAAAGAATGCATGAATGTGGAGCAACAATGACTTTATTGCCTCTGCAAGCAGTGATCGAAGGGAGGAGAGGAGGGTGGTTAGCTTACAGGGAAGTAGAGTGAACCAAGGGGCAGGGGATTTCACCAAGGAGAAACAACAGAACTTTCACACCGTAGCCTGTCCAGTCATGAAACTGGTTTTCAAAGCTTCTCTGATGCACACCGCGCCCTCCTGTGCTCTTCTAACCGCCCTGGTGTCTGGCTGTGCGTAACCAGCAGCCAGGCGATTTGCCTCAACCTCCCACCCCGCCCTAAACGTCTCCCCCTTACTCTCACAGATATTGTGGAGCGCATAGCAAGCAGTAATAACAGTGGGAATATTGGTTTCGCTGAGGTCTAACCGAGTCAGTAAACTGCGCCAGCGCACTTTTAAACGTCCAAATGCACATTCTACCACCATTCTGCACTTTCTGTAGTTGAACAGCTCCTATTGTCCAGGCTGCCTGTGTATGGCTTCATGAGCCATGGCATTAAGGGGTAGGCTAGGTCCCCAAGGATAACTATAGGCATTTCAACATCCCCAACGGTTATTTTCTGGTCTGGGAAGAAAGTCCCTTCCTGCAGCTTTTGAAACAGACCAGAGTTCCTGAAGATGTGAGCGTCATGTACCTTTCCCGGCCATCCGACATTGATGTTGGGGAAACGTCCCTTGTGATCCACCAGTGCTTGCAGCACTACTGAAAAGTACCCCTTGCGGTTTATGTACTCGCTGGCTTGGTGCTCCGGTCCCATGATAGGGATTTGGGTTCCATCTATGGCCCCACCACAGTTAGGGAATCCCATTGCAGCAAAGCCATCCACTATGACTTGCAATTTCCCAGAGTCACTACCCTTGATATCAGCAGATCTTTGAATGCATTGGCTACTTGCATCACAGCAGCCCCCACAGTAGATCTGCCCACTCTAAATTGATTCCCAACTGACCAGTAGCTGTCTGGCTTTGCAAGCTTCCACAGGGCTATTGCCACTTGCTTCTCAACTGTGAGGGCTGCTCTCATCTTGGTATTCTTGCGCCTCAGGGCAGGAGAAAGCAAGTCACAAAGTTCCATGAAAGTGCCCTTACACATGCGAAAGTTTCACAACCACTGGGAATCGTCCCAGACCTGCAACACTATGCGGTCCCACCAGTCTGTGCTTGTTTCCCGAGTCCAGAATTGGCGTTCCACCGCATGAACCTGCCCCATTAGCACCATGATGCCCACATTGCCAGGGCCCGTGCTTTGAGAGAAGTCTGTGTCCATGTCCTCATCACTCACGTCACCGCGCTGATGTCACCTACTCGCCTGGTATCGCTTTGCCAGGTTCTGGTGCTGCATATACTGTTGGATAATGCGTGTGGTGTTTAATGTGCTGCTAATTGCCAAAGAGATCTGAGCAGGCTCCATGCTTGCCATGGTATGGCGTCTGCACAGAAAAAAGGCGCGGAACGATTGTCTGCCATTGCCCTGACGGAGGGAGGGGCGACTGACGACATGGTTTACAGGGTTGGCTTACAGGGAATTAAAATCAACAAAGGGGGTGGCTTTGTGAGAAACTGAATGGTCCCCTCAAGGATAGAACTCAAAACCTCAAGGACAGAACTCAAAACTGGGTTTAGCAGGCCGTTGATTTCACAGAGGGCTGGGAGAAAATGAATACAAAACAAATCTGGTCTATTTCTTGTTTTGAGCCACTTCATCTATCTTTATACATCTTGCTGGCAGCAGACTGTGCAGTACGACCGCTAGCCATCGTCATCTCCTGGGTGCTCGGCAGAAGACGGTGCAGTATGATGACTGCCCATCATCTTCTGCTAGCTGCAGGTTAAAAGACAGTGCACTGCCGGTAGGACTCAATCGCCACGAGACGAAACAAGGGAAATGACCTGACTGAGTCACTCCCATGTTTGTCCAGGCGCCCAGCTAAAAGAGCACCCAGGACTATGTTGACGATGGCTACCAGTCATACTGTACTGTCCGCTGCCAAAAGGCAATAAACTGCTGCTGTGTAGCAATGCAGTACCACGTCTGCCAGCACCCAGGAGACATATGGTGACGGTTAGCTGAGCGGGCTCCATGCCTGCCATGGTATGGCGTCTGCACAGGTAACTCAAGAAAAAAGACGAAAAACGATTGTCTGCCCTTGCTTTCACGGAGGGAGGGAGGGAACAGGGGCCTGATGATATGTACCCAGAACCACCCGCGACAATGTTTTAGCCCCATCAAGCACTGGGATTTCTACCCAGAATTCAAATGGGCGGCGGAGACTGCGGGAACTGTGCGATAGCCACCCACAGTGCAACGCTCCGGAAGTCGATGGTTGCCTTGGTACTGTGGACACACTCCGCCAACTACATGCACTTAGAGCATTTGTGTGGGGACACACACAAACAACCGTATAAAAACGCTTTCTACAAAACTGACTTCTATAAATTCGACCTAATTTCTTAGTGTAGACATACCCTGGGATGAGATTTTGAAGAACATGATGTGTGCATCTGAAAGGGAGATTGTTGTAGAGGAGAGAAATCTAAGTGTATTTTGGTATTATGGTATCTGGGAGGTATGAAGAGTAACTTTAGACTTTTGTGGATGCTAATACTACTTAGCTGGAGATTTCCTGGGTTTCTAGTGATTGTGTTGATAGGAAATATTTGAGTGATCTTAAGGGTTTTTTTTTGTTTTTTAAAAGGAGTTTCCCTGGATTTTAAGCTAATAACAGAAGTTTAAATAACTTTGGTGCATAAAGTCTGGAGGAGGACAGCCTTGTTATGATAGAGGCTACAAGATCATCCAGACCACATCACACGATCCATTGTCTACAGCCAAGCTCTAAGATACAACCACATTTGCTCCGATCCCTCAGACAGACACAAACACCTACAGGATCTCTATCAAGCATTCTTAAAACTACAATACCCACCTGGTGAAGTGAAGAAACAGATTGAGCACCTGAGATCACCTACTACAAGACAGGCCCAACAAAGAAAGTAACAGAATGCCACTAGGTGTCACCTACAGCCCCCAACTAATACCTCTCCAGCGCATCATCAAGGATCTACAACCTATCCTAAATGATGATCCCTCACTCTCACAGACCTTGGGGGACAGGCCAGTCCTCTCTTACAGACAGCCCCCAAACCTGAAGCAAATACTCACCAGCAACTACACACCACACAACAAAAACACCAACCCAGGAATCAAACCCTGCAACAAACCCCAGTGCCAACTCTGTCTGCATATCTAGTCAAGGGACACCATCATAGGACCTAACCACATTAGCCACACCATCAGGGGCTCATTCACCTGGACATCTACCAATGTGATATATGCCATCAAGTGCCAGCAATGCCCCTCTGCCATGTATATTGACCCAACTGGACAGTCTCTACGCAAAAGAATAAATGGACACAAATCTGACATCAGGAATCCTAACATTCAAAAACCAGTCGGAGAACACTTCAATCTCCCTGGTCACTCAATAACAGACCTAAAAGTGGCAATTCTTCAACAAAAAAACTTCAAAAACAGACTCCAATGTGAAACTGCGGAACTGGAATTAATTTGCAAACTGGACACCATCAGATTAGCCCTGAATAAAGACTGGGAGTGGCTGGGTCGTTATAAAACCTAAACCTAGTTTCCCTGCACTGTTACTCACACCTTCTTATCAACTGTCTGAAATGGGCCACTCTCATTACCACTTCAAAAGTTATTTTTCCACCCTTGCTATCCTGCTGTCAATTGAATTGTCTCATTAGACTAACCTCACACCTGGTAAGGCAATTCACATCTTTTCATGTATTTATACCTGCTCCTGTATTTTCCACTCCATGCATCTGATGAAGTGGATTCTAGCCCACGAAAGCTTATGCCCAAATAAATTTGTTAGTCTATAAAGTGCCACAAGGACTCCTTGTTATTTTTACAAAATATACTGTAATAGAGAGAGACTGGGGTTCCCTACAGTGGAATTCCCCTTCTATGGCCTTCTGCACACCTGTATGTAGCATGCGCCTGAGAATTACAGCTGTTTGCAATACTGGAAGGGGAGAAAGAGTGAAGAAGCCTTTTCTCCATGTTGAGAACATTAAACCTGTTAAGAATGGAAGATTGAAGTAAAACTCCTTCTCTCCCAGTCCCACTGTGATGGCATGTACAAACTCCACACTGGAACAGGACAGAAAGAATTAATTGTTTGCCTTGAGAGACCAGGATGTAAATTAGTCTCTTCTGCAACACCTGCTAAGACTATCAAGCCTAAAGAGAAGCCTCTCCAGCTGTAGTTGATACTCAGGAGAGAACACGGCACAAAGAGAAGGAGGCAGGCAACAAAAGTGACTACCTTGACCCAGATATGGTCTTGGCTAGTGCAGAGAATTAGTTCTTATGCTTTACAAATGGGTAAAGTTATTTACATTTCTTAATGATTCAACACAAGATCTAGAAAGGATCTTTCACTTACGTGTCACTGGCACAGACACGAAAACAGCTCATCAGCAATTCTGCTGCTTTTTCCAACATATCACCAACTTTGCTTTTCCCTTTCTTCACCAGCTGTTGATCGGCCTAGCATGCAAGGTGAGAGACACAGCATGTATTCCTATGTCCAGGCTCACATTTTAAAAGCAATAAGTAGACTAGTTCTGTAAATACATTATCTTGTAAAGTAAAGTAAGAGGTAAGTTCCTTACACCTGTCACCCCAACATACTGTACGTATTAAAATATCTCTTTGGAGGTTCTGAACACCCCCCGCTCATTAACCTCAGGCTGAGCCTGCATGAACAGGAGGCAGGGAGGGCTCAGGCTGGCACAAGTGTGGGGAGGCGAGGATGGCCACCGGCAGCCCGGCACATGGGGAGGCTGGGGGACCTCAGAAGGGCTTGGGCCGGCCCCGTGCTGGGGCGGAGGGGCTTGGGCTGGCCTACGGGTGTCCTGTTTTCCCGTTGGGAAAATATGGTCACCCTAGGTATTGCCAACCACAAGCCTTCAAAAAAATCATGATTTAGGCCACCCCCAAAAAAGTTATTTAAAAATAAATTTGGGTTCTTTTAAGTTGCCTTCTGGTGTATGAGCCTTCAGGGTTCGCTTTTTCAACCTCTCTCTGCAACTATGAAGGCCAGCAATTTTTCTTGGGAATGAAAGCTGAGATTCTCAGGCATTCACAAGACTCCAGGTGCTGGAACTTGAAGAAAAACACCAAATATTGCTAAGCTCACGATAAATCATGATCTGGCAACATAACCTGTAAAACTGGAGAGATCTGAAAGGTGGATTAACTAATGTACAACTTTATCTCCGAGTAAGGATAACAAAAGACAAACCAATGGCCTTAACATGCACTGGAATTTGCCTCGTGAATTAAGTGTTGTTTTAATTTTGACTTTTGTTTACATTCTCCCCCACTTTTAACTACCCTGAAAACAAATGCAAACAGGCCAAAAAAAAAAAAAAGAAACGGAGACTCATCCTTGTTATTGAAGACATATCTATTAAAATGCCCTATCAGCTCTCATACAGTGCCAATCTAGTTAGTATACAAACTTCTCCAAACCGATAAACCAAAAACTCCCATGCAGACCCTCCGATTCAGGTTTCTCACAGGTAATATATGCGCCCAAATACATAAATGGCCTTATCAACATTGGATCCTCAGGCTGGATGTGGTCATAAATGTAGAATCTACTTACTACTCTGTTCAGACCATTTCCTACTCCAGGCAGAAATAAAGTTTTTCCCCATTGCAACACAAACTACCACCATGGTCCACCACAGAGAATTTTTAAACCCTATCTAATTCAAAAAAAGTTTCTTGGAGAAAATTCTACCCAATCATGAAGCCAGGGAGTAAAAGCATTACTGATGCAATTAAGGCATGCCCCACAGAGCCTTTCTGAACCATAAATAACGTCAGAAACCCAGACTGACATCAGTGAGACTTGCAAGTTCTCAGCACCTCCCAGGATAAGGGCCAAAAATAACAGGTAGGTAGAATAAGCAACTTATATTATTGCAAGTATAAAATGAACTTAGCAGTGGGTGAAACTGAGTATATATCATTTTTAGGGCTGTTGATTAATTGCAGTTAACTCATGCTATTAACTCAAAAAATTAATCGTGATTAATCACAGTTTTAATCGCACTGTTAATAGAATACCAATTGAAATTAAATATTTTTAAATGTTTTTCTATATTTTCAAATATATTGATTTCAACTACAACACAGAATACAAAGTGTACCGTGTGTACCGTGCTCACTTTATATTTTTTATTACAAATATTTGCACTGTAAAAATGACAAACAAAAGAAATAGTATTTTTCAATAAATCTCATACAAATACTGTAGTGCAATCTGTGTGGTGAAAGTGCAATTTACAAATGTAGATTTTTTTTTGTTACATAACTGCACTCAAAAACAAAATGTAAAAAAAACTTTGGCTGAACAAGTACCCTTGTAGGCTCTAATCATTAAGACAAACATCCTCTTAAAAGATGGTTGAAGCATGAAAGGGACATATGATTCTTTAGCGCATCTGGCACATAAATATCTTGAGATGCCAGCTACAACAGTGCCATGTGAACGCCTGTTCTCACTTTCAGATGACATTGCAAAGAAGAAGCAGGCAGCATTATCTCCTGCAAATGTAAACAAACTTGTATGTCTGAGAAATTGGCTGAACAAGGAATAGGACTGAGTGGACATGTAGGCTCTACATGTGGAGTTCTGCACCACTGTGCAATGCAGAATTTTGCAGAAATTAGTGTTGTGCATGCAGAATTTCCTTCCCCCACCCCCTGAAATGGGCTGCAGAGATGTTGGCTGCCACTAGGGGTGGCTGGACCCAGCAGAGCCCAGCTTGCAAACAGAAAACAATACCAGGGGGTGGGAACTGGAGGGTTCCCAGCAGTTGCAGTTCCCAGCATACCCTTTAGGAAGGAGGCGGCGGCGCACAGGAAACTCCGTGCAAGCCCAGGACCCAGCATCAGGCTATTTTTGCCTCTGTATCCCTGGAGTCTAGGAGGATAGGGGATGTGAGCGTCTCAGCCAGGGAGGGCCCCGCAGCTGGGCTCTTAGAGGCAAGAGTGGGTGTGAGAGTCTGGCCCCCCGTCTGGGCTCGAAAAACAGGAACGGGGTTGTCATAGGGGTTTCTTTAATTCTCTACTCCTGGGGGAAATTTTTATATGTCTGTATTGTTACATACTTGCTGACAGGTATTTTGAAATAAATTATCAAAATAATTGAAGCTGGTGTGATTGTATAGTGTTATTTTGACAAAAAAAATTTGCAGAATTTTAAAATATTGTGCACATAATTTTTAATTTTTGGGGGCAGAATCTCCCCCGGAATAACATCTGCAAGTTCAGCTTTTATGATAAAGAGATTGCACCACATTACTTGTATCAGGTGAACTGAAAAATACTATTTATTTTCTTTTTTACAGTGCAAATATTTGTAATCAAAAATAAAGTGAACAGTGTACACTTGGTATTCTGTGTTGTAATTGAAATCAATATATTTGAAAATGTAGAAAACATCTACAAATATTTAAAGAAATGGTATCTATTATTGTTTAACAGCAAAATTAATCGAAATTAATTTTTTAATCACTTGACAACCCTAATTATTTTGTAACACGTCCTTACATAAAAGGGAGAAGATTAAGCGAAGGATGAAAGTTTAAGAAACTTCAGTCAAATAAATTCCTTATTGACAGATAGAGTACATGAAATTGTTAAACTGCAAGTTTCCTGTCTACTCACATTATTAGCAAAAATTCGAAGGTCAAGTGCTACAGCATACATAATAGGCAAAGCCCTACAGAAACAAACAAAAAAAATCTATAAATTTATTATGCATGAGTAACTAACCCCATATTGCAGGTTAAGCCACACAAGTTACTTTTTAGTCCATATGGACGTAAGTGTTGCTGGTGGCGATACAATTCCCTATATATCCAGTTTTCCTTTCCTTAAACCTTACAAAAAAAAAAATCACATTTTATAGGAAAATTTAAAAGGTCAGTGTTTCACACATCATTACTTGCAGTAAATGAATAATGCAGTTAATTAATCTCCAGGTGACAAACTGTCAAGCAGAATATCATTCTGCAATCAATGCTTTACTTAAAGGGAAACAAAGTACGTTTGCTAAACAATTTGAATCGACAAATGAACAGATTTTGGGCTTTAGTCCCTTATACAAATTCGAAAGAGCAGAGTGACATAACAGTTTTAATTAGTAAATACCTGGTGTACACAACTGAAACAAATCATTATAGATAATGAAAGTTATTTTTATGAAAGGTAGCAGTAACAATCATCTAGATCTATTCACCTGCCTAGTTACTAACATAACGACATTTATAAAGTACTTACCAGTTTTCTTCTTTATGTGCTTGAAATGCTCGCAGGAATGATGTGTTATATTTAGGAGAACATAGCACACAATTTACAAAGTGACCCAGGAAGTAAAATGGGATAGGTGTAAGAGGCTGTATAGTATGCCCTATTTCTGAGTGTAGAAGACTGCAAAAAAAGGCAACAGATCAGGAATCGGAGTGTAGGGGCACATAAGGGATGAGTCCAGCTCTACTGCATGCTACCTCCTTTACCCTGATTGAGGGAGCACAGTGCCCTGCACATGGGAGTGGGAGAGGCCCAAGGAAGGGAACAGGATAGTGGCTCTTTGCAATATCATCATCCTCTCTACATTATGTGGGAGACTGCAGAAGACTAATTCTCTGGCTTTGGGGCAAGTGTACTTTTCTTTGACCCCAAAGAGAAGGGGGAAATTTTATTTGGATTTCATTGGTTACAAGTCTAAATAGCTAAAATTTTAGACACACACATACACCAAACCACATTTATATTTCGTAATCCCATCACATTTGAAAGCATTTCGCCCTCCTCAAACATGAAGTTATCCCAGATACACACATTTATGAGCTCTCAAATGAACTGATGGAAAAGGATATTGTACTATAACGGTCTGGCATTTGTAAGCTTCAATAAAGTCATGGTTTCCAACAGCGTAAGTACATCTGTCAAAAAAAAAGCAGTAAGGAGGAAACTGAAAAGTGTTTTACATTTAAAGAGTAGCTTAATATATTAGTCTCTCTTTCTCTCTAGCTAAATTAAAGCTTTGCAGTTTATTTTAGTAACAGGCTTATTAGAAGTATTCTTAAACAGCAATAAATATGGGAATTGAATACTGAGTGACAATGTAAATAAACTGGCAATTTCACACAATACATTATGCAGCAAAAGATCTGAATGCATCAGTTTTAAATGACCTCTCTACAATTGTCATTCAACATAACCTAGATAGATAAATTTTCAAGATTCTTGAAATGAGAGAAAATTAAAAAAAGACATCAACTTGACCTCTATTTAACTGTAAAAAGCAGTAAAGAAATATTTTGCATACTAAAGATGCATGAGAGAGCTCTGCCAGTTTTCATAGGTCTAGAATCACTTTTTCCTATTTAAGAAATGTCTCTTTCCCCTGTTGTTGTTTGTTCACTTTTGTGTCTGTTATTGCTATTAAAAGCAATAGCACTTTTGCAACGCCTGGAAAAGGGCATTCATTATCAATAAGATGGTGACATGAACTATACATAAAGTGCTATCAAAATCCACACAGTAAACTCAAAAAAAAAAAAAAAAAAAAAGCAATCAGTAAATGTTTTCTGTATCATTTATTTATAGCAATTTTAGGGATTATTTATAACAGTAGCAGGTACACAATTTTCAGATGAAGGTGTGATTCCCCCCCCCCCCAATTTGACAGTGACCTTTCAAATAAATCAGATCAATTCATGGAGTCCCTTCCTCTTTCTACCTGGATACATCAAAATTCAAACTCTCATTCTTAATCCATCTTTACCTTAAGTGAGCAGCAAACATTTCATCATATGGTGGCTCCAGAACTTGTTGACATTTGTCTTCTGGAGATGGAAGCTAATCATAGAACAAATCAATGGAACATTAAATGTATAAAATTGCACAAAAAACATATGCGTTTTTTAATCAAGCTAGTATTTTTATACATACATGCCTTCACTATATAGTAGAACATTAACAGTCACTCATTGTAGAGGAAAAATGGAAAATTAAGGAGAATCAATGTTAAGGATGGGGGAGGGGAGGGAAAGAGCATACCGTGGAGCGAGATCAAGAGATAAACAAGGGAAAGAGAGAGAAACCAAACCAGAAAGGTGTGCTGCTCTGGCTTATTAAACAATTTTTTCAATAAAAGAGCCATATGACAGAGCAAAAAGAAACAGTATACACAAAAAGGGAAGGGGAAAGAACAAGTGACAGATTAGTGACAATGACAGAGTTTACTTCCCAGATACTACAGTGAAGTATAAAAACCTGAACAGAATAGAATTTCCATGTTTCATTGTATTTCTCTGGACAGCATCCTACAATTGTGTTAAGTTGTATTGTGGCGGGAAAGAGGAGAGATGGATGCTAATTGCAATAGTCACTAATGGAATAACATTATATTGCTCCTTCAGTTGACCCTGGGTTAAGTGCAGTTTTTTAAAACTGCATACAACACCATTAAGTCTTAAAGAATTTTAAAAGACATTTTAAACCAACCAAAGGAATTTTATAATAAGGATGTCATTCTCTGTTGAGGTCTACAGCTAGTATAAACACTCTATAGATAAAATATAACTTGATCAAACTCTAATATTTTGAAGAGTTATTTTCTATAGAACTGCTGCTCACTTTTATATTTTGTAAGATTTTGTTTTTCTCTGTAAGAGCAGTGGCAGAAAATTGTTTTTCCCTAACTAGGCTCCCCTTTCTGCAGCAAGAGAGTTTGGGTTTGTTTTGTGGGGGATTTTTTGCTTACATGTTTGTTATGCACACTATTCCTTTCTCTGTTAATTTCTTCAGAACTACCTGAATATTTCCATCTAAGCCCCCAGAAATTTCATGCAAATGAGCAAATTCCTGGACCTTTCAGAAACTCTTTGAAGTTAATAGAGGTCTGCCTGTGCACCTTACCTTGCAGCATAGATGCTGACTTTTGGTTTTGCTGGTGGATACCCCATCCTGGCCCCTCCCCCTTCCCCACGCCCCCTAGATCCCCTCCCCTGAGCGCCTCCCACTCACTCCTTTCTGCCTCCTCCTGCCATAAGGGCGAGGTATGCATGTTTGGGGGGTGCCCAGCCTCTCCCCCCCCCCCCCCGAAACTGGCAATTTTCAGCATATTTATACACTTCTTTCATATTCTAGTCATTGAATGTGTGTCTATCGTTGGTATCTCTATGTAATCATTATTAAAATAGTAATGAACTACATAATTACATCATCATGAATTACAGTATAATTAAAATCATTACACTCAGCTACAAGCTGTCTTCACTAACATCCCAGTGTAAAGACATTACATTGGCTCTGTACTTCACACCTACTTAGGGCCAATTTGGGATCTGAGGGCCACTGATGGCTGTGGGAAGGAGGCAGATGGGAGGGACAAGCAGTAGGGAGTCTCTCCCCTCTTCCTTCCTGTCACTCTCTCTCCCTCTCCTTTCTTCTCTAAGTCCTTGTCCCCTTCCTGATGTTCCCCCTTCTTGCTTCCCACCCCGTGTCCCTTTTCCCATCTCTCTCTCTCTGTTCCCCACCTCCTGGCGGCTCTGTCTAGTGCCTGCCCCACCCACACACTGAAAGCAGCAGAGGAGGCTCCCCCTCCTTGGGGTAGGAAGGGTTGCCTTGTGGTTAAAGCACACGTCTGGGGCTCAGGTGTTCTGGGTTTGGTTCTCTGCTCTGCCACAGACTCCTTGCTTAGCCTTGGGAAAGCCACTTCACCTCTTTGTGCCCTAATCCCACCTGCCAAATGGGGTTAATACTGACCCTGCCTCCTAAGGTAAATCCATTCATGGCTCTGTGATGACGGGGGAAATGGAGATACCAAGGTGGGTAGATCTGGGCTGAATTTCTCCACAACCTCAGAGTGAGAGCCAGCTCCTCGCAGGGCGGATGGGAGAGAGAGGGGCTCAGGCCACCTCTGCACAGAGGCGGGTCGGGGCTTTAGCCCTGAAGCTTCTCTCACTAAGGTAGCTGGGGCTCCCAAGCTGGGGTCTTCAGCACCACATCTTCTGCTAGGATCTGGGGCTTCTCCCAGCTCCACCCAATGCAGCTCCTGCTGGGGTCAGGGGGGCGCTTTTACTCCCCACACCCAGAGCAGCTCCTGACGGGGTCTGAGCTTTTCCTCCCCTGCCCCCTCAGTGCAGCTCCTGCCGGGGTCCAGGGCTTTTCCTCCCCTTAATCCGCCGCTGCACCCATCAGCCCTAACCTAGCTGGGCTCCCTTGGGTCACCTAATGCCTGCTGTGGCCAGAGTTGAGCCTGGCAGGGAGGGAGAAACCATACTGGTGGACACCATGGCCACCAGCCCAAGAGGTGTGTGCGGCGTGGCCCCAGGTGAGCAGGGGCTGGCTGCACCGCTGCTGATAGCCCGGCACTCCCACCCACCCCTAACCCTAAGGCTTTTTTTTTTTTCTTTCTTTTTTTTGGGGTTGAGGCTCACTCAGCCCCTGCTGGAGCAGGGAGGTGCGAAACAGCTGATCTGAGCCTGCCTGCCAAACAGCTGACTGCAGCTGTGCCCAGGCAACCCATACCAAACAGCACATCTGCAGAGGCACCCGCTCAACAGCTGCTACCTGGCTGCCTACAACTGGTCATCCTGGTGGGTGGTGAGCACGCCCTATTTTTTTTTAATGGGTGCTCCAGCCAAGGAGCACCCACAGAGTTGGCGCCTATGCCTTGCAGGATTGGGGCCTTGGTTTGTTAGCGTAACTGATTCTTGTACCTGAAGCCTGGGGTTTGCAACATGAGGATGCTTAAATGACACCAATTCTGCACAAAACAATCCATCTCTGGAATCAATGGCTTCTAGAACCTATCGAAGAAAAAATTACACACCTTAAGGAACAAGATCTAGCCTTAGCTATGTAACACACATTGCCACATAACTATTAAAAATCATCCTCTTGTGATGACATTTGCATTCTTGTCAATGACTCTGTGAATATTTTTCAGAGTAACAGCCGTGTTAGTCTGTATTCGCAAAAAGAAAAGGAGTACTTGTGGCACCTTAGAGACTAACCAATTTATTTGAGCATAAGCTTTTGTGAGCTACAGCTCACTTCATCGGATGCATACTGTGGAAAGTGTAGAAGATCTTTTTATATACACACAAAGCAAGATCTTCTACACTTTCCACAGTATGCATCCGATGAAGTGACCTGTAGCTCACGAAAGCTTATGCTCAAATAAATTGGTTAGTCTCTAAGGTGCCACAAGTACTCCTTTTCTTTCTGTGAATATTAATTTCTCATATGTTATTCCCAAGACGTTTTAGTTTGGAAGATACATTAAAATTCTTGAACAGGAAAAAGCCATACACATTTATTTTTCCTTAGTTGTACAAAGTGGCTCAGATCAGTGACCTCACAGGGTCATTGGGGGGAGGGATAGCTCAGTGGTTTGAGCACTAGCCTGCTAAACCCAGGGTTGTGAGTTCAATCCTTGAGGGGGCCATTTAGGGATCTGGGCCAAAAATTGGGGATTGGTCCTGCTTTGAGCAGGGGGTTGGACTAGATGACCTCCTGAGGTCCCTTCCAACCCTGATATTCTATGAACTCTTTGAACAAGGCAATTATATGGGTCCACTGTCTTTCATTGGCAGTAGTTAGACAGAATTAGAAACTTTGTTTAACAACTATAGACAGACTTTAATGAATAAAAAGTATACTTGCAGCCATAAATCAAGTTTTAAATATTTTACACTGGAATTGCTGAAAGGAAGGATAGTTTGGATTTCATTAATAAGGACCCTTAAATGTATTTCACATACATATTAGTATTTAATAACACAGCCTAATCATAAAAAGATTAATCCTGCCTTCCCTACTAAGAAAAACTTCCCCTTTAATTAAAGGGGAAGATTTTCTTAAGTAGGAATTACAGGACTGGACCCAGAGCATCTTTGCGAACTCCCTTAAATTGGAGTTTTGGGTATGGATGGGATACAGGATTGGGCACATGGCATTATTCTTGTCTACACTATTCAGGAAAAGGTATTCCCACTTCTAAATCAGCAGCAGAAACCAAATTAGTACTAAGGTCAGCTAAGAATTTCAGTGAAGAAATAAAGCATTATTAAACAGTTCAGTATAGTCCGCATACAATCAATTAGTTTAGTTCCATGTTGACTTTATCTTCAGAGTTTACTTTGTAAAAAAACCAACAAAAAACCCACGTTTGATGCAAAATTCTCAAGAATTAGAAAAATCTAAAAATATGAACATATGGTCAATAATCTGAAAAAATTTGGACAATAAAATAGCTTATCTTTGTTATTTCAGTTAAAAAGCCTGATGACAGACCTAGAAATTTAAGTTTCAATAATGTCCTATCATGATCAAATATACTGCAATGCAAGGATTATTTAAAGGGACATGATCAATTCAAAAATCACAATGTTTTGCCTCATATTTCCATGAATGACATTTTAAACAACAACAGATTAAAAAAAGGAAGTATTTACAGTTTTACTTCTTACATTTGACAACATGTTGTAAACTGTCATTTCACAGATTCATTTATTATATTAAATTTCCTATGGTTTTGTGGGTCTGTCACTTAGCAACAGATCAGGGAAAAACCTTTTCTAAAGATATAAAAACATGACTGATAAACCACAGAAATTGGGAAAGGGGCTTAGGCAGCTAATATTTAACTTTTGGCTCCTTTTGCGGAACTGACCAAGTTTGACATGTCTCATTAAGGTGCTTAAATAAGAGTGTGTATTACATTTGACAAAGAAGGAACCTTTATAGCAAGTATATTTGGGCCTTGATCCCACAGTCGCATCTATTAATGCAGACCCCAGTATCTGTGCAAAGCCTCACTGGGTATGTTTACACTGCAGCTGGGCGCAAACCTCCCAGCTGGAGTAGACAGACTCATGCTAGCAGAGCTTGAGGTAACATACTAAAAAGAGCAGTATGAAAGTTGTGGGTCCAGCGGAGACTTGGGCTAGCCCCCAGTCTCAGAAGCAGGGAGGCGGGTGGGCTTGAGAGCCTGAGCTACCCTCTGTGCTGGACCATCCACGCTGGTGTTTTTAACGTGCTAGCTTGAGCTGAGCTAGTGTGTCTGTCTACTGGGGCTGGGAGGCTTGCTCTCAGCTGCAGTACAGACATGCCCACTTCCTAAAGATGCCAGAGCCCACACTAACAGATCCTATCACACGATTGGGGGCTACATATTTATATAGGCCCCGCATTTTTTAAGCGCCATACGAATGTTACTTTGTTTTCATAACAGCTTTAGGAGACGCTTCCCTAATTATCACTTCCCATACTCTCGGTTGCCTTTTCTTGAACAGGGTAACTTATCTGTAGCGTGGAGAAAAACAGGGAATGGTGCCGGCAAATAAAACCCACTTACCTGCTGCAAATACTGGTTGATGGTGATGTGCGCCATGGACGGACCAGCGGGCCAGGCAAGTGCTGGAGATCAAGCGCGGGGCGTGTCCTGTGCGGCCAAGGAAACAGAAGTGTCACCGCGAAACGGAGTTAGCACGACTGTCCCCCGCCCGCCCGCGTTTCCACCTCCCCGCGGGGCCAGCGTGGGGTTTCCACCAACTCACTCAGCCCGGAGCAGCCCCCGCAGCCCCACCCCCCAGGAGCGGAGCCAGGCACAGGGCACAGCAACGGGGCGGGGGGGTTTCCCAGGGCGCGCGTCACTCCCCTCCCCCGGGGCTCCCCCGCACCCACTGACCAGGCTCGCAGCGCCGCGCCCGCCTCCCTCCGTCACACCACGTGGGTGGGGCAACCGCCCGGCGCTTCCGTCTCCCGCCCGGCGCGCCAGCCCGGCGTGAGTCACGTGACGCGGGCCGGGCAAGCCGCTCACGTGATGACCCGTCCTAGCGCCCCGCCCCGCGCGCCCGGCTTGGGTTAAAGCGGGGTTGTTGTTACTATTCGTCCTGTGGCGTGGGGGCGGGGCTTGATTCTTCTCGCGCAGGGCTGGCGGGACTGGGAGACGAGCGTCGCGCGCTGCAGCTGAGCGCAGCGTTCCGCCTGCTGCGGGGTGGCCGGGCTGAGAGCCCTCTTGGGAGCCTAGTGACTGCTGTGCGCGCTGGTGCTTCTGCCCGAGCGCTGCTCCCGCACGCGTCGGTCCCTGGGGTGCCTCTGGCTGCGGCGAGCTGGGAGGGCAGCTGGCTCCGGGTGCTGGCTGTCCTCTCCCTCTGTTATATGGAGTTTGGGAGCGTGGGCCCAAAGCCTTGCCTTGTCGTGAGCTAGTGACACTTCTGTTTTAAACACAAAATGCATAGTGTTGTTTTGTAGACCATCTCACTGTGCATGCGTGGCAAAAAGAAAAAAGCATTGTAATACATTTTAATCCTCTGTGACACGCTCTTAATGGTTGTATGCAGTTGGGGGGGCTGGAACTGGGGGTATAGGGGTACCCTGTCTTGAAGTAGTAATAACCAAATACCTGGTTTCCATCATAGGGTTCACAGTTTTGTGCAATGGCTTTCAGCACCCATGCTATAATAGGTTTCAGAGGAACAGCCGTGTTAGTCTGTATTCGCAAAAAGAAAAGGAGTACTTGTGGCACCTTAGAGACTAACCAATTTATTTGAGCATGAGCTTTCGTGTGAGCTGTGGCTCACGAAAGCTCATGCTCAAATAAATTGGTTAGTCTCTAAGGTGCCACAAGTACTCCTTTTCTTCATGCTATAATAGCTGTTCTAACATCCCTGCATGCAGGGTTGTAGCCATATTGGTCCCAGGGCATTAACAAGAGAAGGTGAGTTAAGACAGCGGCTATCAACCTTTCCAGACTATTGTACCCCTTTCAGGAGTCTGATTTGTCTTACGTACTCCCAAGTTTCACCGTGCTTAAAAACTACTTGCTTACAAAATCAGACATAGAAATACAAAAATTTCATGATGCACTATTACTGAAAAATGGCTTACTGTCTCATTTTTACCATATAATTACAAAATAAATCAATTGGAATATAAATATTGTACTTAGTGTATAATCTATAGTGTAGTATAAACAAATAATCGTATGAAATTTAGTTTGTACTGATGTCACTTGTACTTTTTATATAGCCTGTTGTAAAACTAAGTAAATAGCTAGATGAGTTGATGTACCCTCTGGAAGACCACTGTGTACCCCACAGGGGTACATTTACCCCAGTTGAGAACCACTGGGTTAAGTAATAGCTCTTTTTGGTGAGAGAGACAAGCTTTTCAGCTGCACAGAGCACTTCTTCGGGTCTGGGAAATGTACTCTGTCCCAGCTATATACAAGGTGGAACAGATTATATAGCATAAATTGTTAGTACATATTTCAAGGGACCATGCAAGGTGAAATGGCCTATTAACACCCTTCCAGTCCTAGGGAGGAAAGTTGGGGGAAGGGAGTGGCAGCTGGGGTGCATTAGTGGGTTACAGATTGTTGTAATAAGTAGGGTTGTTGATTAATTGCAGTTAACGCACACAACTCAAAAAAATTAATCACGATTAATCACAGTTTTAATCGTACTGTTAAACAATAGAATACCAATTGAAGTTTATTAAATATTCTGCATGTTTTTTTACATTTACAAATATTTGCACTGTAAAAATGATAAAGAAATAGTATTTTTCAATTCACCTCATACAAATACTGTAGTGCAATCTCTTTGTCATAAAAGTGCAACTTACAAATGTAGATTTTTTTTTTTGTTACATAACTGCACTCAAAAACAAAACAATGTAAAACTTCAGAGCCTACAAGTCCACTCAGTCTTACTTCTTGTTCAGCCAATAGCTAAGACAAACAAGTTTGTTTACATTTACAGGAGATGATGCTGCCCTCTTCATATTTACAATGTCACCAGAAAGTGAGAACAGGCATTTGCATGGCACTTTTGTAGCTGGCATTGCAAGGTATTTACGTGCCAGATATGCTAAACATTTGTATGTCCCTTCATGCTTCGGCCACCATTCCAGAGGACATGCTTCCCTCCTGATGATGCTCGTTAAAAAAATAATGCATTAATTAAATTTGTGACTGAACTCCTTGGGGGAGACTTGTATGTCCCCTGCTCTGTTTTACCCACATTCTGCCACATATTTCATGTTAGAAGAGTCTCGGACGATGACCCAGCACATGTTTGTTTTAAGAACACATTCACTGCAGATCTGACAAAATGCAAAGAAGGTACCAATGTGAGATTTCTAAAGATAGCTACAGCACTCGTCCCAAGATTTAAGAATCTGAAGTGCCTTCCAAAATCTGAGAGGGATGAGTGTGGCGCATGCTTTCAGAAGTCTTAAAAGAGCAACACTTCAATGCAGAAACTACAGAATCCAAACCACCAAAAAAGAAAAATCAACCTTCTGCTGGTGGTATCTGACTCAGATAATGAAAATGAACATGCGTCAGTCCACACTACTGTGAATTTTTATTGAGTAGAATCAATCATCAGTATGGAAGCATGTCCTCTGGAATGGTGTTTGCAGCATGATGGGACATATGAATCTTTAGAGCAGCTGGCACATAAATATCTTGCGATGCCGGCCACAACAGTGCCATGAGAACGCCTGTTCTCACTTTCAGATAACATTGTAAACAAGAAGCAGGCAGCATTATCTCCTGCAAATGTAAACAAACTTGTTTGTCTGAGCGATTGGCTGAACAAGAAGTAGGACTGAGTGGACTTGCAGGCTCTAAAATTTTACGTTTTATTTTTGAATGCAATTTTTTGTACATAATTCTACATTTGTACGTTCAACTTCCATGATAAAGTGATTGCATTACAGTACTTGTATTAGGTGAATTGAAAAATACTATTTCTTTTGTTTTTTACAGTGCAAATACTTGTAATGAAAAATAAAAAGTGAGCACTGTACACTCTGTATTCAGTGTTGTAACTGAAATCAATATATTTGAAAATGTAGAAAACACCCAAAAATATTTAAATAAATAGTATTCTGTTATTGTTTAACAGTGTGATTAATCGTGATTGATTTTTTTTTAATCACACAATTAATCACGATTCTTTTTTTTAATCGCTTGACAGCCCTAGTAATAAGCGATAAATGTAGTGTCTCCATGAGGATGGATTTGATTTAAATCACTAGTCAGGAAGACTCAATTTAATCATGGATTTCTACATAAAAGTGTATTCTTGTTGGTTGTAATAATCTTAATACATATTCTTCACAACTCAGAGATAGATGTAGGTTTCATTTTTAGAAGGTACACATTATACATTTTTAAAGTGATTTATTTTGAAAACTTTTCAGATTAGTTTTACAGCTAAATGAGAAAATGAATGATTGTTTGGTTATTTCATTTACCAAAGGTAATTGAAGCAGATATTTATGAAGTCATTGGGAGGTAAACTATCTCCAGTTCAACAGGTTAATCATTAATATTTGGAGGATTTTCTTGCCATGCTGTTTTAGGAGGAGAACATCCCCAGACAGACATTTAAATTGTTTTATTGAAGCAAAACAACAAAGTTATGTATTCTGTATTTTTTCTTCAACAGCAAACATATAATATTTTAACAATGCAAGCACATGAATTTTTGAATTTAGTTAAACATCCAATTTTTTTAAAATCAGGTTTGTTTTTGTTAAAATTGTTTTTAACTAAAATAGTTAAATGAAATATTAAAAAAAACCCAAAAATTAAATCTACTACATCAGCCAGGTCAACATGAGAAATTTAAAATATTGGCTTCTGCAGCTAACTCAGTCGTCTTCACCTTCATTTTCCTGTTTGTTCATAATCTGGAAAAGAAAAACAAGCTTTCCTGCTTTTTCAGGTCCTAAATGATTTATCAATTTGGAATGAATGAGTCCAAAGGAAGAAAATATTCCTTCTATATAGGCAGAAGAAGCTAGTGCTGTTAAAAGTGAGATTATCACTTCAACAGTCTCTGAATCCAAGTGCTTAAGTGACTTCCACCAGTTCACTGTTGTGACTTTCTTTAAAACATCATCAGCAAACAGGTATTTCTTGAATGGTTCTTTTTCCCCAAACGGGCCATTATAGGTTTTCCTTTCTAGTGAGCGAATGGTATAGTAGATCTCAAAGCAATGAAGGATACACTCAGAAAGACCTCAAGCCTTCTGGAATATGCTGCTCAAATAGTTTCACTTATGTTTCGACTGCCTGTACCTCCCTTCTCACATTTATCTCCAGACTACTTCTCCTTGTCCAGATCTATTCTGCCCCCAACAATCTTCTTCTATTCACTGAACTTTTTGAAACTTTGCACTTTTAGAGAGAGGTAAGGGATTGACTTTGTGTACACAAATTTGCAGAGGGACAATAGGGTTGAGTTCTGTTATTTCTCACCTCTATATTTTATTTATTTATTTAGCAACATTTTTGCTGTTAACAAGCATGTTATCTCTGGAGACACAAATCCACAATCTGAGAACTGCAAAACTGAGGATCTCTGATGGTGTCTTCTAGACTTAGCACTGAGTCCCATTGGATAAGATAGAAAGATTAACCTAAATAATCTATACAGAAGCCCCGGAGCCCCGTAAAATTGGTCCCTAATCCATGAACTATAGGAACTCATTTACAAAACTTTTCTTAAACATTACAGGAATATACTGTCTCATACTATAGAATTAGAATTTATAATCCCTATTCCATGATGAGATATCTTTGAGATATAATGTATTTTAATTAAAACTATCGTTAGATAGTTTTTTCCCTCAAAAAGCATTTTATCAAAAAAATCTGATTTAAATAAAAAAACCTGATTAATTTTTTTTTAAAAAACCATTGATTTTTATCCACCCTGGTCACCATTCAGTCCAAGATTTTTAGTCTCTAGCATAATTATGAATTTAAGCTCCCGGGCTCGTTTTTTGAAAGTGTTGTACAGGTTTCCTTTGAGGGTGAGGACTGATAGGTCAGACATAGAGTGATTGCCTTGTGAAAAGAGTTCACCCACAGCTGATGTGATGTTTATGTCTGTCTTTTATTATTTTCCTGTGTGAGTTCATTTGAGATCTTAGCAATTGTCTGATTTCACCCACATAGTTGCTATTGGGCAACTTATCTCTCACAAACAGAAGCTGGGCCAATACGAGATATTACCTAATCATCCACCTTTTCTCCCTCTAAGTTCTTAATGACACATTTGAGTCAAAAATTTCACAAGTGATCATTAACATGAAAAAAGACTTATGTCCAATTCTCTACTGTTGTTACTACTTGTACAGTGTCTTCTATGGTAGGAGTACTGAGCTGTAGCTCATGAAAGCTTCTGCTCAAATAAATTTGTTAGTCTCTAAGGTGCCACAGGTACTCCTTTTCTTTTTGCGGATACAGACTAACACGGCCGCTACTCTGAAACCTGATTTTAAACAGTGTGCTGTCTAGACCTGCTCTGAGTAGATGTAGAATTTTTAGATGACATGATGGTTAAAACATGGGCTGGTCTACACCTGTGCTCCTATGACATTTACCACCTTTGGAGCTGCTGCAACAATAGCAAGAGTGGGAAGTTAAGAAAAAGAGCTAGTGAAGCCCTCAGCCCTTCTTGTCAGAGGCACCATTTAATTAAGTGGTTAACGTCCATCTCTCTGAAAATAAGGATGTGTTTTGGGCTGGGAAGAGGAAACTAGGAAAACCAGAAAATGTTGGGCTTTGTGTTTAGGAGGGTGAAAGGTATAAACTTTTACTGTCTTGGCCTGTTTTCTTCCTAAGAAGATGTGTGATGTTACCTAGTTACCGAGATATCTATCTTGACGTAAAAGCTGAGTAGAAACAAGCCACTGGTAGATTCCACCTTGATTGTAGCTCTTCAAGGGCAGCACTATCCCCCCCCGGGTTGACCTCAGCTACAGACAGTGGCAGTTTAGTCACGGGGCCAATGGAGTCTGTGTCCAGGGGCCCCAGCCGGTGCTCCTGCCAGGGAGCAGGGTTGGGATACTGGGGCTTGCCCTGCTCTGCCCGGTGCTCCTGGCCCCATGCCCTGACCCTGCTCCCCAGCAGGAGCACCGGGGTGGCGGGGGGGAGGCTAGTGGGAGGACAGCAGGCGGAGGGGCCCCCACTTGCTCTGGCCCAGGGCTCCAGAAAACTGTAATCCATCTCCGGCTACAGAGAGGTACAAAATTAGTGTTTGGTCTCCACTCGAATTTTGTACCTAGGTGGCTGCCTATCTCAGTGTGAAAACTACAGACTTTTGCCGAGAAGACAAAGCCTTGATGGACAAAAGTTGGGATTTCCAGTGGCGTTAGTGTAAACAGAACAGCAAAATAATTGGATCGGCTGAAACACGTGGTCGGCTAAGGCCATGGAGCTCCTCAGTAAGGTGACGTTACCGTGACTGAACTAGCGCGGCTGGAGAGCAGCCCCGCTTCGGTCCGGGGAGAAGGGCCGGAGGGAGACGCGCCGCTCACGGGGGATCCGCCGCTGCTCACCCGCTGCGTCTCGGGACCCTGGCCCGGGCCGAGGCCGCTTCGCTTTCTTGCGCGGCCTCTGGGGGAGCCGGGCGGCGCCTCCTGCCGGCTGCGCCCGCGGGCCGACGAGCGGAGCCGTCGCTCTCCCCACGCCAGGGAGGGGCCCGAGTCCGGCCGGGGGCGCCTCGCGGGCGCTTTAACCCCCTGCGTCCGGCGCGAGGGCGGCAGCAGGAGCGGCGGCCGCCTCAGCCCTGGTCTCGGGAGCCATCTTGTGAGCGAGGCCGCGCTGCCTACGCGGCGGAGCCGGCGGCAGCCTTGGCCGGCCTGCCCCCCGCCCCCTCTCCGCGGGGCGGGGTTGATGGGGCCCCCGGAGCCGGGGCGACGCGGGGGGAGGCCGGGCTGGCGGTGACTCTCCGCCCGCCGGACAGAGCAGCAGCAGCAGCCGGCGCTTCCAGCCGGCGGCCGGGCCCGGGGGGGCGGGAGCCGCGCTCCGGCACGAAGGGGGCGGCCATGGCCGGCGAGCCGCAGAAGAAGCCGCACCTGTCGGCCCTGGTGGGACACACCAACGGGCTCACCAAGCCCGCCTCGCTGGCGGCGGCCGCGGGAGCCCGGGCCGGGGGCGCCGCCGCCGCCGCCTCCAAGAAGCTCGTGATCAAGAACTTCAGAGGTGGGCCGGGGGCCGAGGGTTTGGGGGTCGGGAGCGGGCGAGTCCCCAGGGCCTGGCGGCGGCTCGAAGCATCCCAAGTTTCTCCCGCACGGCCGGGCTCGGCCGCAGCCCCGGGCTCATCCTGTCGGCCGCAGCCAATGGACCCCGCGGCCCTGTCCTGACCTGAGTTTACTCTACTCCTGGCCCTGCTGCCCCCGCCCCTTCCCCAGAGAGGGAGGCGGCTGGGAGGGGCCCTGACTGCGGGCTGCTGCGAACAGTGACAGGCAGGGCAGGGTCAAGAGCGGCCGCCTGAGGACCCTGCCCTGTGGTGCGGGGGGGCGGTGTGTGTAGCCTCCGGACCGCTCTCCAGCCCGAGCTCCAGGGGCCTGTGGTGCACCCTGCGCCCCATGGAGGGCAGCCGCCGCCGCCAGCGCCGCTCCTCTGGTCATGTGCTGTGGGGTCTGCTCCAGCTCCTTCCTCACCAACAGATAGGTGCCAGGCTGGGTTTGCTCTGGAAACGGACTGCGAAAAGGTCTTAACTTGGCTAACTTGCGCTCGGTGCCTCCCTCCACAGCTACAAGGGCCCTTAGTCAGCCAGCCTGTTCACTGTGTATAGGCAATCACTTTTTTGGCAAACAAGGGCCTGATCCTCAAGGAAGTTAGGTTTCAGAGTAGGAGCCCTGTTAGTCTGTATTCGCAAAAAAGAAAAGGAGTACTAGTGGCACCCTCTCTAAGGTGCCACTAGTACTCCTTTTCTTTTTTCAAGGAAGTTAATTCAGCTTACTTACATATATGAAATTCTGAGCACAGGGGCCCTAGTGTAGCTCTCATCTTTAGGTCTCAAAGACAGGTCAATATTACTGGGGTACTGGAACAGTTTTTCTACTGGGGGTGCTGATGATGGAAACCATGTATTTGGTTTCAGAGTAACAGCCGTGTTAGTCTGTATTCGCAAAAAGAAAAGGAGTACTTGTGGCACCTTAGAGACTAACCAATTTATTTGAGCATGAGCTTTCGTGAGCTACAGCTCACTTCATCAGATGCATACTGTGGAAACTGCAGCAGACTTTATATACACACAGAGAATATGAAACAATACCTCCTCCCACCCCACTGTCCTGCTGGTAATAGCTTATCTAAAGTGATCAACAGGTGGGCCATTTCCAGCACAAATCCAGGTTTTCTCACCCTCCACCCCCCCACACAAATTCACTCTCCTGCTGGTGCTAGCCCATCCAAAGTGACAACTCTCTTCACAATATGCATGATAATCAAGGTGGGCCATTTCCTGCACAAATCCAGGTTCTCTCACCCCCCTCCAAAAACCACACACACATTACTTCAAGCGAGGGGGGTGCAGCGGCACCCCCAGCACCTTAAGTTCCAGTACCACTGAATATTACCATCACTGTTTTACAGAGAGGGGAAATGAGGCATAAAAAAGTGAAGTGATTTGTCCATGATCACGCAGCACATCAGTGGTGTAGTTGGCAGCAGAACCCAACTCCCCTGTCTAACCAGTCCTGTGTCTGGCATCTGTACTGCCTTAGTATTCCCTTTCCTCATCTCAACTAAGTGATGCAGCTTTATATATAGACAACAGTTTTAGTTGCAGTCTTTTCCACTGAATGCATCCGATGAAGTCAGCTGTAGCTCACGAAAGCTTATGCTCAAATAAATTTGTTAGTCTCTAAGGTGCCACAAGTCCTTCTTTTCTTTTTGCGGATACAGACTAACATGGCTGCTACTCTGAAACCAGTCTTTCTGATGTTTCAGTTAACGTATATTTTATTACAGAACATGCTGTTATGTGTAGAAAGTTCTATTACACACAGTGTAGTTAGAGATAATGTATATCGATGGTTTGGTGGTCAGTTACTCTTTAAAGAATATATAGAAAATAAATTTAGTATAGATAGTGTTGAAACTAGAGTGGTGTCAAAGATGTTGCAGTAGACCACATTAGTTTGCTAGTGTTTGGAATGTAAGTTTAAGCTTTATTAAATAAAAAACCTTAAATTGCAACACTTACTTCTTGTGTGCATTCTGAGGTAGTATCCTTGGATGTTTTACAAATTTTGTCCAGAATCATGCAAGCTGCTCTAGCTGGGCAGATATATTTTAGTAGGGACCTGTGCATGTGAAGAGGGGCAGCCCCTGTGAAGCTTCTTACAGGAGCAGGGCCTTTGTATGCCACCATTCAGAGATAAAAATGGCACTTAGTGGCTTTTGCCGTATTATATGTTATTACAAATATTCCTTTATTTTAAAAAAATATTTCAAGCTTAAAGTGTGAAGTGAAATCCAATACGTCTTTCACTTTATTAAATTATTCCAAAAGTATTTTAAAAGATATAGCTTTAAGCAAGCTTGTATTGTGGGTTCAGTTTCTGCTTGTATCTGGTTTTACAGAAAGACCTAAATTGCCTGATAATTACACGCAGGACACATGGCAGAAGCTTGATGAAGCAGTGAGAGCAATACAAAGTAGCACCTCCATTAAATACAATCTTGAAGAGCTCTACCAGGTAAGAGTCAAGGTTTTGTGGGGTTTTATTTTTGTTTTGAACTAGGAAAGTGTTAGAGCATAATACTGATTGCTTTGGAATTTTCATTGTCATAAACATTTAAATATAAATGGGATTTTTGTGTTTGCAATGTATATCGTCAGGCTACTGATAAAGTCCATATTCTGCTCCTAACGTATGTTTGCCATTTTCTAGATCAGTGTCTCCCCAAATGTTGTCCTTGGAACTTTCTGGTGGTCCATGGAGAGCCAGCAGGATTGGGGCCTGTGATAAATTAAAGTTGGGGGAGGGGGGCAGGGAGAAGCTTCGTTTTATGGACACCCAGCCAGCCAGTTAGCTATAAAATCCCTCTTAGTAGCTGTTCTCTACTTGCCTTACATGTAAAGGGTTAAAAAGTCTCTCTGGGTTACATAGGTAAAACGAAGGGAATGGGCACTTGACCAAAAGAGCCAATGGAAAGACTAGAACTTTTTAAAATTGGGAAAAAAACTTCCCCTTGGTCTGTCTGCTGTTCTCTGGAGAGAGGGAACAGAGCAACTATGCTGTAAGAAGCTTTGGGCCAGGTATGAAAAATCACCTGAATCATATCTAGAAACTACTCACTTGAAACCCCCAGATACGTAAGTAGGTCAGGAAATGTTTAGGAATACGCGATTAGATTTATCTCTTTTTATTTCTTTATGGCTTGTGAACTCCTCTGTGCTAACCACAAATGCTTTTGTTTTGCTTGTAACCTTTAAGCTGGACCTCAAGGTTATTCTTGATGCTTAATTCTTGTAGGTGTTTTTTTTAATTCTAGCAATAGCCTAAGTTTCCAAATGTATTTTCTTTCTTTTTGTTTTTAATAAATTTTATCTTTTTAAAAAACAGGATTGGATTTTGTCCTGAGAGGTTTGTGCATATGTTGTTTAATTAGTTGGTGACAACAGCTGATTTCCTTTGTTTTCTTTCTCAGCTCTTCCCCGGATTTTGTGTGTGTGTGTGTGTGTGAAAGGGCTTGAGGATACCCCACAGGAAGGAATTCCTGGGTTCTCAGAGGGGTTTTGCACTTGGGTGGTGGCAGCATCTATCATCCAAGGTCAGAGAAAAGCTGTAACCTTGGAAGTTTAATATAAGCCTGGAGTGGCAAGAATTAATTTTTAGAGTCCTTGTTGGCCCCCACCTTCTGCGCTCAAAGTGCCAGAGTGGAGAATCAGCCGTGCTGGGGCCCATCTAACTAGCTAGTCATATTGAGGGCTGTGGAAGGATACATTTTGGCAGGGGTCAGAATGGGGAAAAGAGAGGGGAATAAGTGGTCATACTCTCCCAAACTCTGCTGGTTCTGGATGTTGAAATGAGATGTTACTCTCACTAGATTATGTAGATACCCATAGTAATAATTGGTTCTCTACCTTGCATGCTTTGGTCTGCAGTGAAATAGTTAACAATGTTACAATATTCATTATCACAATTAAGCTTCAGAGTCAACACCCCTGGTTCAGACCTGGGTGGGCAACAACACATTTTGACTATTATATTTACATGACAATTAGAGACTTTAAAACTCTTGTTTAAAATAATGAAACAACATTGCATGAAGGGGTAAATGACATATCCATTACTTGTTTCCTTCTTTACTCCCTTTCTGTTTTGTTTTTAAATATGGTCAGTTTTCAGTTGTTTTCCTCAATATTCTTTTTTACAGCTTGTGTATTTTATGGCACATAAAATAAGAATATTTATAAATTTCAGTAACTCCGGCATTGCAGAACGAAGGCCCTCGTCCTGCAAGATGCACCACCTCTTTGTGCAACTGAAATGAGTGAGTTTCTACATGGGCATGCATGGAACTCATTGCTAGAGCCCTGTGGGGATACAAAACTTGTATCCAAATCCAATTTACAAACATGATCTGCAGATATCTGCATCCACATGTGTTGATATAAAGCAGATATCCTCATTTTTGCAGGGCTCTACTCATTGCAGTATTGCGGCCTAAGAAATTGTATATCACCAGAAGTGGTCTACAGGTTTCATTGGAGTTCTGTGGTGGTTTTGGGGTCATTAGCAGAAAGCATGCTGGGAGCTAGCAGTCTGCATTGGGTGTGAATGTTAAAGACCTAGAAATAATAATTATTGGTAAAGGCTTGATTGCCCTTTCCTCTCTGATCCTGTCGGGGCATTTAACGTATAGTTCTAAAAATACTTTCTTTTTTTATTCAGTACTACCTTTAGAATAAATGGATGTAAATTGTTCTTTTAAATAGACAACTTGACTTGTTGTATTTACATTCTGGACATTGTAAGACAGCAACATTTCAATTGAATAACACTGATCCGTATTTAAGGGTTTTAAGCTCAAGGCTGAAAAATCGTAACTGTTTTTTGTGCATTCTTATTTGAAAAAAGTCCAGATGTTTGTCATTTTGTTTGAATTGCTTTCAAAAGCTGAGAGGAGATTATAGTAGCATGGGCATGAAATCATCAAGGCCTGGACAAGAATTTTGGTGGGTGGGAAGGAAGGGAAGGGATGGGGTGGATTTTTGGATATGTCATAAAAGAAAAAGCAAGGAGATTGCTGTTTTACCTGTTTGCACGCTAATTTGCAAAACTTAATTCATAATGGCAAATCATTAATTCATAACGGATCTTCCAGTCATGAGTGCTAATTAACAAGGTTCCACTGTGTGTTTCTGTGCACGCTTCTTCATTCACCTAGAGAAGGAGAGAGAAGATAATTCAGACTTGACTAGAAATGTGATTACAGATCATTTTAAGTGTCTGATGTTGGATATGAAATCATGCACAGGGAGGAATTTGTGCGTATAGGTTCTCTTTATCCTCTGATCTTTGTGGTCTTTACTCATCATTATGAAAGGAGACCAGCATGCCTGCAGAAACCCATGTGTTAAGTAGGTTGGTCTGCCACATAAACAAAAGCTATAATCATCTGTCATTTCCCATGTTGTTGTTGATTACTGCAAATAATTACTGGTGAGTAAAGTCTAATTAAAATCAGTCACTGAGTTTTGAAATTTGGGAAGAATTTGCAATAATGATGCCTAAGCCTACAGTGCTTGCTAAAATATTTAGCTTGGAGATTTTTGGAAAAAGTAGTGATTTTGTACAAATAATAGTTGTGCCATATCTGAAGTCTCACTCTTCTTCACCGATCTGAGCCTTCAGCTAAGCTAAAAGTAAAATAAACAGAGCAATGCTTTTCAAATGCTTTGTAATCCCTTTACTCCGGGGTTGGTGATTTCCTAATATAGAATCATAGATATGTAGGGCTGGAGGGAACTTGAGTCATCTAGTCCATTTCCTCCTCTCCTCTCTTCCCCCTACCCCCGCCCCATGCTGAGGCAGGGTCAAGTATACCTATACCATCCCTGACAGGTGTTTTTCTAACGTGTTCTTAAAAACCCATCATTAGTTCGGTCTATGGGGGTTTGAATAGGATGCCGTGGGCACAAACTAAAAGGTCCCTAGTTCGTATTAACCTAGTCCAAATTGCATGGTAATGTAGACAAGTACTATAATTCTATAATAGAAAATCACCAGTCCTAGGGTGATGGCGTTACAAAGCATTTGATAAAACATAGCTTTGTTTGTTTTTATATATGGTGCACTAGAGAGGAAATGCACTGCTGCTTCCACTGGTGATGATTTATCTTCTGGCTCCAGTGGATTAATTGTATTCCCTTTTCCCTTTGTGACATACTCAGGGTACAATCTAGACTAATGAGTAGCTCTGTCACTCCTGTCTTCTTACCTGGGGTGCCCTTTACACTGCATTGCTATTGTAGCCTACAGTCTGGACTGTTCACAGCCTCCAGCATGTAAGTTACTCCAAGCTGTGTGTGAGCTGTAGCTAGACAGACACACTGTGGCTCTGACCACCAGGGTGACCTCAACTCACTCGCAGTCTTAGACTTTCCCTCAGAAATATATGTCCTGTACTGTCCAGCCCTCTCTGGGACAATACAAGTAAGTAGAAGTCCATTATTTCTTTAAGATAGAAAAGGGCGAGCTTATTATTTTAAATAGTTCTTCAGACACTGCAATTTAAACACTGGATTAGATAAAACAGTAAAACAAATTTATTAACTACAAAGAGAGATTTTAAGTGAGTACAAGTAATGAGGCATAATAGTCAGAAATGGTTACAAGAAAATTAAAGATAAAACACAACTAATGCCTAACTTAACAAATTGTTAAATTCAAAGCAAAGTTTTTCTCCCCACATGTTTTCAATAGTCTTACTGGTCAAACTTCTTAGGCCAGGACCCCTTTTTCTGCTTAGTGGCTGCTTTGTCCTTTTTTTGTGCGGTACATCAATGGACAGAGAGAGAGAGAGAGCAAGAGGGAGGAGTGGGTGCCTTGGGCGTTTATTCCCTCTTTTTATAGTGTCAATCTCCCTCTTGGAAAACATTTCCATCTGTGAGTCAGGAGAAAGAGTGTCTGTATGTAAGGATATTCCCTACTGTTTTTAACACCTGTTTGAACTCCCTTTGTCTCCCTTCCTGCTTGATGACTCTGTTCACTGCTTAAATGCAAATTAAGCAGAGCACAGATTCCTTTGTTTGAGATAGACCTGTTTGCCCACCTTAGTTTGGAACATGTGTTAGTAACATCATATGGAGAAATCTTATAACTTCACGTACAATATTGCCACACATTTTATTAGGACAATATTGACCAGCAAATTGAGTCTTCAAATTATACCTTACAAGACATACCTTATTACAATAGTGATAGGGTGTGGCCACAGGGGTTCATTCTGTTATACGTACCCAGGGTACAATCTGGGCTAATGAGTGGTTGTGTCATCCTGCCCTCTAACCTGGAGTGCCCTTTACACTGCTTTGCTGCTGTAGCCTCCAGTCTAGATTTCTCACAAACGGCTTCCAGCATGCAAGTCACTCCCAGGTAGAGGTGTGTGCGTGCGTGGTGCCGCCCGCCCACCCTCCAGCCAGCCAGCCACAACTTGGCTCTCTCCAGCCCCGGTTATATTTCATGGTGACCCCAACACCCCCAATCTTAGACTTTCCCCCAGAAATGTATGTCTTGTACTGTCCAGCCCTCTCCTGGATCTCTCCTGAGGCCACTAGATGGTGCTGCAGCATCGCATTTTCCTATTCTCCAAGCTATCTGGGGTTTTGATTATCTGATCTGGTCCCGGTCTCAATTAAACTGGATAAACAGGGATCTGCTGTATATATGTGAGGCAACTTGGATTGCAGTACCTTTATTGTGCAAGTGACACCCAATTATATATCTCTTTTCCATCATTTCTAGAGGATAACTAAGCAGCATTCTGTCTATAGAATGTCTAATGCAGAAAACATGTTTGTTGGAGGAAATAAAAGTAATTATTTTTCCTCTTGATGGAAATAATTAGTGTGCCATTTGTCACTCATGCTTGTTACTTGGTGCTCTTGTCAGACCCGTGGTTGCTTCTGAATGTTCACGTATCAGCTGTCGTCCAACATATTTTTCCTTGAAACCATGCTTGGCAAGGAGATTGTGATCATTCTTGAATATGACGCTCCCCTTGGTTATCCACCACAATGTCACCTCCAGATTGCAGAGAACTCTACTTGTGTCTAAACAAGCCTGTTCAGAATATGGCTGCTGAGGTGGCGTGCTTCATTTGGGGAGCATAATGCACTTGTGCTTCACATACTGCACTGGCTACCAGTTTATTTGAGTGAAACTCTAAGGCTAGTTTTGCTGAGTTCCCAAACAGTATAGCAAACGGTTAAGGTTGACAAGTAGTACTCCAAACAAAACTTACTATTATAGCCTCATTATTAAAAACTATGGTTATGTTCAGTTAAGTGCATAATTCTGCAGCAAGGTTCATACCACTCATTAACATACACACAGAATTTCTGTCTGAGTAACGACAACACTAATTCTTCCTCTTAAAGACACCACTCTCCAGTCTTTACTTTTTTTGCCTGACCCTGAGAACCCTTAATTGTGTGAGGAACTCTCTCTCTAAAGGCTTTAGGAAAGTCTCTCTAGATGGTTGTAGGCATATGAAATTTTAAAATAGTACCAGTATAGCTACTGTATCAGCGTAATTCTATTTTTCCTTCATTGTACTTGTCATAAGGGGTTTACATAGTCTGTAGTGTCTGTAAGATGAAACCTTAAACTTCAAGAGTGATCTAGACCTAGGAGGCATACACGTTTGGATACACTAGATCTTTATTTAATGATGCTTGCATGCTTGTTATATCACTTGGTAACAGAGTAAATAACAGTGTGCTTTTTGTGTCTAGGTATGTTGAGGTTATAATAGTATTAAATAATGGAAAATAATGGCTTTCTCTGTGCTGTTGGTCCAATTAGAAATTTATAAAATATACTTTTTTTTTCCAGAGGACTCTGTGTGGAAGTAAAGTAGTTGCTGGGCAGCAATGGGACAATCAGTTACTTCAGAGGGAATTCTGCTCCAAAAAATTAAAAATTCTGCGCACAGTATTTTAAAATTCTGCATATTTTATTTGGCAAAATAACACAATATAATCACACCATTTTCAATTATTTGCTGACAAGTATTTTGAAATAAATTACAAACATAATTGAAAGTGGTGTGATTATATTGTGTTATTTTGACAATTAAAATATGCAGAATTTTAATATTTTTTTTTTTTTGGTGCAGAGTTCCCTCGAGTACCAGGGTTCTGTGTGGTACAATCTGAGTGCGGGCAGCTCAGTGTGGGGGTCTGGATGCGGGGGGAAAATCTGGATGCACAGGGGCTGGATGCAGTGTTCTGGGTGGAAGGGGAATGGGGAAGGGGAGTCCAGGTGAAGGTGGTAAGGGCTCAGTGGGGGAGAGATGAGGGGGTCAGGGTGCAGCTGACTGGGGTTCAGTGTGGTAGTGGTCTGGGTGTGGGGGGCTCCTGATGCAGGGGGTGAGGCTCAGTTGGGTGGGAGTTCTTGGTGCAGGAGGATCCTGATGCAGGTGGAGGTTGACTGGGGGGGCAGTTCCGGGTGTGGGGAGCTCCCGATGCAGGGGGTGAGGCTTGTGGGGGTTGGAGTTTGGGTGCAGGGGGGGCTCAGTGGGGAGTTCTGGGTACGGGGAAGTCTGGATGTGGGGGGTTCCTGATGCAGGGGTTGAGGCTTGGCAGGGTAGGAGTTCGGGGGGCTTAGTGAGGGGGTTCTGGGTTCAGAAAGCTCCTGATGTGGGGGGGGTGTTTGGTGAGGGATGTTTTTTTGCTGAGGGAGGGGTCACTGTACGGGGAGTTGCTGCCCTTGTCCGCCAAGCTCCGTAACTTCCCCCCACAGTGCAGAGCTTCCTGCAGTCAGCAAAAATTTCTGGGGGTTGATCTGACCCAGCCCTGGGTGCTCTGTGCAGGGAAGGGGCAGCTCCATCTCCATCTTCCTCCCCCCCCCCCCTCCCTCCCCCCCGGGACTAACATCCCTTTGTGGCCGAGGTATCCCCAGCGCCCCCCGCCCACAGTGATCTACCTCTCCTAGGATGCCCAAACAGATATGTTTGAGTTGCTGGAGAGGGATGAGTGAGCATTGGTGCAGCTTCTTTTTTCTGTCCCACTTTCACTGTGTCTCTGTGGGTCACACCTGAGAATACCAAATTCAGGACAGACTGCTGAGAAATAGGGCAGACACATCCCAAAACTGGAGGTTATTCTCCCATAAGATACACCAAACCAGCAACAAAAATAAACTTCTGTTTCACCACACTGGCTAACAAGAAGTCAAAAAAGCAGTCTACTTAGGCATTCCAGTCCTGGATTCAATACCCAGACACTAGACTTAAAGATGAGTGGTTCTTTAAAGCCAATTTAATCAAACAAAAGGGTTCTTCTGATCCCAAAGGATCAGCCACATACCCAGGTCAATATACAACTCAGATCTTACCCAATAATCACACTGTTGTCAATCCTTTAGTATCTAAAATATAAAGGTTTATTTATTTAAAAAAAAAAGAGAAATGTGAGAGTTAAAATTGGTTAAAGGAATCAAATACGTACAATTGCAAAGTTCTTGGATCAGGCTTGTAGCAGTGATGGAATAAACTGCTGGCTTGTTAAGTCTCTGGTTGCATCCAAATCATTGGAAGGTCCTCAGTCCATTGGTTAGAATGCTTCCATTAGTATAAGTTCATAGTCCAGAGGTTTGAGCAGGAAAGAGACAAAATGGAGATGTTTCCAGCACCTTTTATAGCTTCTCTCAAGTGAAGGGAAACCCATTGTTCTCACTGTGCAAAATTACAGTAACAAGATGGTGTTTGAAGTCAGATGGGCAAGTCACATGTCCATGCATGATTTCACCTAGTCATAGCAGGAAAGTCCACTAAGTGTAGATAGGTGTCTTCCATTGTGAGTTAAGTGTTCTTTAATTGGCCATTCAACTTGAATAGTTCCTTCATAATTTGCTGGCTAAATACCTTGTGGGTGCTACCCAGAAGCAAACATTTGAAATCCAGGTATAGAACCCCGGGCTTTGGAGTGGAGCCTGAAGCAGTGGAGCTGCAGGTTTTTGCCCAGAGCTGGAATGGAACTGGAGCACAGAGAATCTTGACTGCTCCAGTTTTTTTTTTTCATTTTCAATCCAAAATGAAGTATATTTAGCAAGAAAGTCCTAAAGGTGCCAAAAAGTTTCAGATTGTACAACAATTGATATTAACATCTACTTTACCACTTTACGTAATATGTCACAGTTGTTCTCACTTCGGCTGAAATCAAGATTTAATGTACAGATACAAAATTACAAAGTGTTTTGGAAATATGTTTTATTAAAGAATCAGATAATTATCAGACATCCGGAACACTGCAGACTGCTCCCACCCTTGTGCCAAGGTTAAGCGAGTACGTAGTCGCGCAGATTAGTTAGATTAGTATGTGTTGATACACTTTTGTAAGGGTTCATCAACGAGACACGTTGAGTGCTGCGATTACGGAAAAGTGTGACGTGAGACGTGAGATGCGAGACGCAACATTTAAGATATCACAAACAGGTATATTGCCAAAAAAATAATTTTATTTATTGATATATTAAGATATCGCAAGAGATATTAACCACTTAAGCTCATTTCTCACATGGGCTCCCACTACCGGTACATTTGTTCATTTGTACATGCTCCCGTATCACTCTGGCAGACTTATTTTATATGTCATCTGTTCAACGGTCTTTTGGTAGCGTTGTTTGTAATTTTAAATTTACTGAAAAAGTCGCGTGCAGCAGGCATATAAATATACAGTAAACATTTTTTCATAAATTAGGAGTGATTTTTTTGTGATTGATTGGAAAATGTCCAACACAACTTTGGGGGTGAATCCTTAGGTCATTTTAAGAAAAACCGTTTCTGTGAACACTTATCCTAAAATTCTTACTAAGGGAGCTACAGTCCCTTCAAGAAGGTGATGAAAAGTTAATTTCTGATTAATATCTCAAAAACACTTTAATATAAAGTAATGAAATTATGTCTGTGTCTTAGCATTAGTATATACTACAATATTACATTATCCAAAATTATTTAAACCATAGGCGTCCCGAACTGGCGGTTGGTCATTTTTATTTCACATTTCAAGAAAGGCTTGTCGTCCACTGCCTTTGGCTACCAGCGGTAATATTATGTTCCATAATAATTTATTAATTTTTGGTTATTATTTATTATTACATTTAAAATTTATGGTTCCGATGTTGAAAAATAAGTAATAAGTAAAATTGTTTGTATGATTCTAAGCATCTAAGCAAATTAAAATTTTTCAACCGTTTTCTCGGAAATGGTTAATTTATACAAAATAAATTAAGAGTACCATTTTAATGCATGTTTTAGCATTAAATCATATTCCTGGGTCGTATCTGTTAAATAGTTAAAGATTTAAAAATATTAAATTAAATTGGCCCAGTCCTCCCAGTTCACGACGCCTGTAGTTTAAATAATTTTATTTGAATGATGTTGTATGATAGAACGTTGGAAATAAACTTTAACAGGAAAGTGGATTCAAATTGTAAGCACAGTCCTTTTAATAAAGAGAGCAAATTTTTTGGAAATATGTTTTTCCTTCGTCAGGCTGGAAACATTATACAAGAAAGTACCTGTTATTTTCTCTATCTCGTATAATCTATTCAGGCTGATGAAGCAAAAATGTATTTCTGAAAATTTGCTCCCTTTACTAAAAGGACTGTGCTTGCAATTTGAATCCACTTTCCCGTTAAAGTTTATTTCCAAACTTGTAACGTGTAGCCTCTTTACTTCCCAACAATTAATGTTGTAGAACAGTGATAGCATGTACTAACACTACGGTACATACCAAATTTCATTGATATAGCTTATTAAAGCATTTTTGAGATATTAATTAAATTTGAAATATGTTCACCGCAAAATTTCATAAGAAAAACTAACTTGCAATTTCTAAATAAAAATTTATATATATTATGTATATTAAAATACTTCTTACTTCATTAAAACTTCAAGAAACATGTTAAAATATTAAAATATACTTTAATAATAATTTTGTGTAAAAAGAAAATGCGATCATTTTTGTCCAAAAAACCCAAAATAATTTTGAAGTACCTTAAGTGGTTAAGATATCACAAGCAGGTATATTATAAAAAAAAGTAATGCTTTTTTTCATTGCTTTTCAAAGATCGTAACAAGAAACATTTGGATGCGGTAGCAGCACAAGAAGATTTGGCCATGGCTTCAACAAAAAAATCAAATCTGTCCCCCATGGTTGATAGCCGATTTATGGAAAAGGATCTCAACGACGTCTTTACTTTTGAATTTGAAAAGCCCAAATTTGGGAAAAGCAAAGAAGAAATCGGCAACGTGCAAGGTGGAAAAGGAAGTGAGTGGCAAGCTCAAAACATTTAGCTTCAAGACAAGTGAAGCAAGTGCAGTGAAAAGTTTCAACTTTTGGCAGCATGTAAAACGTAACCATCCTGAAAACTATGCAGCTCTGGTTACGAAAAAGGACCAGGAAGATGAGGCAAAACAGAAAGCTGATGTGGCTAAACGACATTCATCTGGCTCTTTGAAAACTCCTGGAGAAACGATTTTTTACGGAGCTTCGTCTAAAAAGAAATTGAGCAAACAAAACTTGACTCATATTTGACGTCCTCAAAGGTTACAGTCACAAGGGATGCCAATACTTTCTGTGAAGTGCTGATGGAAATGGTTTGCTTGAGTCCAACACCGCTCACTACTTTCAGACTAAAGAACAAAGGATTCCAAAAATTGTAGGTGAAATTGGTCGGCAGCTTGGTGTTTCGATGGGCACGATATGGTTCGTCATTTAGTTGTCAGCACAGCTAAGTCTGGTTGCAAAGAGCTCAAGAAAGCTTTGGAGCAAAACTTGTGCTACATGAAAATGGATGTGGCAACCCGTGGAAACAGAAATTTTCTTGCAATCAATGCTCAGTACTACGAAGAAGGAAAAGATAAAGCTGGGGTAAAAACCTTGGACATAATTGATACTGAAGGGCGTCACAAGTCTTTGTATGTGAAAAATCAAGTAAAAGCTATTTTAGAAAAATTTGGAAACAGTGAAATGCAAGTGCTGAGCATTTGTGTTGACAATGCAGCAAACATGACGTGTGTGCTGTCAAAAATTTCAGCGAGGACAGTGAAACCATTTCTACCTCTGAGAACAGGGATGTGGACAGAACTGAAGCTATTTTGCCCGATGAAGGAACAAAAGGAATGGATGAAATCGAACTCAACATGGATGCTGCTGCGCAATGGGTTAATGACCCTAGCTTCATACTTCAAACATGGCTTCATGAGGACGATTCAAAAATCCAGCTGATGAGGTGTGGTATTCACACTCTTCAGTTGGCAATTGGGATGGACTGAACAAAGAACATGCGAGGAAATTTCTGGAAAAAATTTGACAAGTCATTGTCAAACTATGAACCCCAAGTATTCGAAGTGTTCTGCTTGATCTACATCGGGTAGCTCAGTCACTGGATACTGTAACTCTCTGGGGTTCAACATTTGCGATGATTGATCGGCTTCTCATTTTTCAATCTTACTGTGAACAAGTGGCTGCTGCTGGAACAAGAGAACTCAAGTTAACAAAAGCTAAATGAACCTGTGAGACCTCTTGGCAAAGCCAAACCAAACAACCATGAATCTTCAAGCTGTCGATGTAACCCCAGGAGTTTTAATGAACGAATGGCGAAAACTGTCAAAATTCTTGCAAGAAAATGGTGGACAAATTGCAGAAGGAATTCTATCCTCCATGCAGAAATGCGAAGAGAAGCTGTTTGACAGTATTCATTTCCTTGCTGGAGTTTGTTGACCCACAGTATCGGATTCTTCTTATCTCAAGGGAAATACCAAAGGCAAAGGAAGGGCTCCTTGATATTGCTCGATGACTCGAAAAACAAAATCTATTGCTACATTTGAACTCGGCGAAAGAGGTTGAAGAAAATGAAATACAACAAAAGGAGTCATCAACAATCGAATTTGCAGTTTCGGAAAGTTCACTTCCTTCAGAAATAGCAGGTTGTTCTCAAACTTCCGTCTCCACTCTGAACTTGTTTGAACGTCCATCCCTGAGATGTCTTCAACCATCACAGGGAAATGGAGATAATACAAGCACCAATTCTTCAGAAGATGACGCCTTCAAAACGGAATCAGATAAACAAGAAAGACGCTGGCGAGTTTCTGCGATTCATAATTGTAATAACGTATTATTTGAGAGAAACTTTTGGGAAGATTGTGAGGCGATAGTCTATTGGTAGGCTAAAAGTGAAGTCTGTTTTTGAGGCCATTCACAGCTACCCACACCACATTCAGGCTGCCTGTAGAATTGCTTCGAGTATGCCAACAACTCAAGCTAGTGTAGAGCTACTATTTTTGGCTTTAAAGTCAATTTTAAATCATAGAATATCAGGGTTGGAAGGGACCTCAGGAGGTCATCTAGTCCAACCCCCTGCTCAAAGCAGGACCAATCCCCAATTAAATCATCCCAGACAGGGCTTTGTCAAGCTTGACCGTAAAAACTTCTAAGGAAGGAGATTCTACCACCTCCCTAGGTAATGCATTCCAGTGTTTCACCACCCTCCTAGTGAAAAAGTTTTTCCTACTATCCAACCTAAACCTCCCCCACTGCAACTTGAGACCATTACTCCTTGTCCTGTCCTCTTCTACCACTGAGAATAGTCTAGAACCATCCTCTCTGGAACCACCTCTCAGGTAGTTGAAAGCAACTATCAAATCCCCCCTCATTCTTCTCTTCCGCAGACTAAACAATCCCAGTTCCCTCAGCCTCTCCTCATAAGTCATGTGTTCCAGACCCCTTATCATTTTTGTTGCCCTTCGCTGGACTCTCTCCAATTTATCCACATCCTTCTTGTAGTGTGGGGCCCAAAACTGGACACAGTACTCCAGATGAGGCCTCACCAATGTCGGATAGAGGGGGATGATCACGTCCCTCGATCTGCTGGCAATGCCCCTACTTATACATCCCAAAATGCCATTGGCCTTCTTGGCAACAAGGGCACACTGCTGACTCATATCCAGCTTCTCGTCCACTTTCACCCCTAGGTCCTTTTCCGCAGAACTGCTGCCTAGCCATGATTTGCAGCAGGTTATGAAAGACGACTTGATTACTGCAATAATTTTTTACAGACTGAATTATGAAGGATTCTAGTTTGTATCATTGTTGACATTTAAATTGTTTTAAAAGTCTGAATAAAAATGTTTTTTCAAAATTACAGTATGCACTTTTTTATTTAGTTAAAAATTAATTTGACTCTGAGTGAGGAGCGGAGCTGGAGTAGTCACTATTGACGCTGGAGCAGAGCAATTCAAAAATTTGATTGCTCCAAATCCCTGATAGAACCAATACTCATAACTTCAAATACAAAAATGATACCTACATGCAAATAGCAAAATCATATTCAGCAAATCATAACCTTTGCATAGACACCTTGCTTGATATAAGTTGTACAAGTTTTGCTGTAATTATATAACCGTGGTAACAACATTGATCTACATGGTCAGTTTTAATCAGAGGAATTTCTGTGGGTGTGACATTTTCTGCTGTGCAGCGGTGGCATAGAATTTCCTTAGGAGTAATCAGTGTTGCTGCTCTTCATATACCCCTAACTTATTCTCCTCCCATTCTTCCATATCCTTCCTACCCTGTCCTTTAGTTTTCAACGTTTATCAGTTAAATATATGAAAGCAGATGCTTGATCTCCATATTTCATTTCTGTTGATCTCAGCTACCAATGCATCTGTATCTGAAATACTGTGATCTTCAGCACTAATGTGTTTTCCATTGAAATCACATTTTAAAACTTACTTTCATCCTTGTTTTGTTCTTGGTTTCATTTTCACCTGTCCTTTCTTTCACTTCATACATTTGACTTTGTATTATTGTAGGAAATCTTTTAAACGTATTTTTTCCCTCTCGGTATTCCACACTGTCATTTATAACTTTTTACAGATTTTTCTGTTCTTAGTCTCAATTTTCTAACCTTAGTTTTTTCCTTTTCTTTTACTTCCCGCCATATTTTCCATTTTAATATCTTTGTTTTAGTTCTATTAGTTTCTACTTAATTTTTCACTTCTTGTTAAACTCTCTACTCCTCATCTTCCCTCTTCACTTTTACCACTGTCTTCCCTTTCCTACCCTTGTGTTCCTCTCTCTACTACTCACCTTCTCTCCCTCATTTTGCTCCACGTTCTTGTTGGGTATTTCCCAGGATAATAAAACTGGTTTATCTAGCATGACCCCTTTCTAGTCTCCATTACTATAGTCCGAAAGAGTTATAAATCATTCTCCTTCAAAATTTTTCCTTTCATATACACCTATAATTTTGTATAAGTGAATTTAAAAAATCTAAATAACTTACTACAGACCTTACTTAAAATTGTCAAAACTAATTTGGAGAGAGAAGGTGGGTGAGGTAATTTCTTTTATTGGACCAAGTTCAGTTGATGGTGAGAGAGACAAGCTTCCAAACTTACACAGAGTTTGAAAGCTTGTGTCTCTCACCAACAGATGTTGGTCCAATAAAAGATACTTCTCAACTACTTCATTACATGAATTTTATATTATATCTAAATTTCTTTCTATTCCACAGAAACATTGTGTTGTCTCCCTGTTTAATAAAACTGTCACATATTTTGAAACTGAGGTTAATGAAACACTGTATACTTGTTAAAGAACCCCACATCATTTCAAGCTTCTGCTACTATTTTCTTTTTATCTTGTATTGGGTCTTTATTACACATTTTGGGTTATGTTGTAGGGAAGAGGAGCTGAGAAGCATGATCTGAAGACTCCAAATATACAGTATGTGTTGCTAATTAAGGGGTGATTTTATGCCACCAAACCTTCATGAAAATGACATATGATAGAAAACTGAGTGAGTTTGTGATGTGATCTTTTAATTATGCCATTAGTTGAGATTGTTTACATTTATTTTACACATTCCAATTGTCCGTCAATGCATGTAATACTGTTCTGATAACTAATCATGCTCTGCCCCTTGTCATTTTTATCAATATCATTCCAAGAATTTTCTACTAGTAAATACTTAGGGCAAAAATGGTTCTAGATTTTCTCTTATGTCCTTTCGTAGTCTGTTTAATCTAACATCTTGTTACATTCAGAATTATTTTTGGCAGTCCTGTTTCATGAGGGTCAATATGATTTTTAAATATATTAAAGGCACTATATGAACCTTAGTCTTTTTCCTCACGAAAAAGTGCAGCAAAAATTTAATCATATGTTCATACTTATGTTAACTAGCAATCTAACTCACTACTTTTGTGTCTTCAGTTAGGCCCATTACTCTTAATCTTAAATATTTTAGGAGCATAATAACCTTCCATGCATTTTACGAATAAATTGGAAAGTATTTCATACACAGTTTGTGTGGACTTCTAATTATATATACGTATATGAGACAGCACTGTGATCGCTACTTAGAGATTGTTGAACCTACACAGGTTGTCAAAGCATACAGAGGAGCTGATGTCTGAGGTGGCCACAATTTGTGTGTGTAAAGACCAGTGATCCACTCAAGAAAAACAAACCACCCAAAAGCATTAAGAAAATTGACAGTAAAAAGCTAATAGACAAGATATTGCAGCAGCAATTTCAAACTGAACTGAAGAACCGATTTCAGGTGCTACAAGAGTTAGATACCATAAGAAGTCAACATCCATCTGTCAAGATGGCAGCTGTTTAAAAATAACGCCACAACAACTGCAGCTGGTTTCCAGACAAAGTAACCTAAAATCTGGATAAGTAAAGATATGTGGAACTGTGTGAAAGAAAGGAAACAAGTCAAAGCAAACATAAACAACTCCAGAAAAAGGAGCAGCAAAAAAAATTTTTTTTTAAAAAGGACGGAGCAGTGAAAAGCAGTGTGAGAGGAACAAGAGGAAGTCCATGACTAATGTTACCAGTTACTGCTGAAAGAGGTGATTATAAAAACACTTTTTCATTGGCTCAACAAGTTCCTAACTGGCAAATTTACACCATCAGGAGGGCTTGTCAAGGATAAACCAGGAAAGAATAACATAAAAAGAACAAAAAAAGCAAGTGGCAGATCACTTTCCAGGGATGCTAAACAGATCAAGAGTACAAAAAACTATTGGACTTTGACAAAGAAAAAATACCCAGAACTAGACATTGTAACATCTCACATTTCAAAGTGAAAGACATAATAAAGAAAGATAGACAAGGTGAGTGGGGGAATATCTTTTGTTGGATCAGTTTTTGTTGATGAAAGAGACAAGCATACACAGCTTCATTTTCACCAACAGAAGTTGGTCCTATAAAAGATATTACCTCCCCTAATTTATGTCTCTAATATCTTGGGACCAACGTGGCTACAGCACTGCAAACAACAATAAAAAAGGTTAAAGCTTGGGATAGAGGCATGTGAAGACCAAGACACCAGGGAAATGTTGAAAGCTTGAGGTGAGTCCACTGATAAAATCAACAAATTTGTCCCCAAAGTATGGGACCAGGAAAAGCCTCCAGAACAGTGGGAAATGGCATTATAATCAGATTACCACGGAAAGGTGACCTAAGCAATTGGTAAGGTGTTACATTCCTTTCTTGGTAAAGTCTTCTGCAGTATTGCCTTAAGGAGAATAAAGAAAGTGACTGAGGGTAAGTTAAGGGAGGAGCAGGCTGGTTTTTGACCCAGAAGATTGTCAACCAGATTTTCACCTTAAGAATAATCATTGAAGAGAGCATCAAATGGTTTAAACCACTCAGAGTTCATAGATTTCAAGGAAGTATTTGACAGCTTCCATCACTATTCACTTTGGAACATCTCGTGGTATTATGGCATGCCAATAAAAATGATCATCCTCAAGGCTTTCTATCGTGGTCCAGTGTGCACAATTTAAATAAATGCAGGCTTGAGCAAATGGTTCAGCATAGACATAGGTGTCAAACTCTTCTAAATGACAGCTCAGCAAACATGCATATGAAGACCAAAAGACTGTCCAGCATTTCAAAAACTTTCCAGTTATGAAAAAATAAATTTAATGAGAACCCTAGCAACACCCAACTCAAGCATTAGAAGGCAAAGGAATGCAAGAAGTGAGTCAAAATACAGAAGAACCTCAGAGTTACGCACTAACCAGACAACCACACACCTTGTTCAGAACTGGAAATATGCAATCAGGTAGCATCAGAGACCACCTTCTCCCCCCCTACCCTCCTGTTGGGAAAAAAAAGCAAATATTGTACAGTACTTTGTTAAACCTAAACTACTAAAAAAAATTGATAAGGTAAGGAAACTTTCTGTGCTTGTTTCATTTAAATTAAGATGATTTAAAAACTGCATTTTTCTTCTGCATAGCAAAGCTTCAAAGCTGTATTAAGTCAGGGTTCACTTGTAAACTTTTGAAAACAACCATAACGTTTTGTTCAGAGTTGCAAACATTTCAAAGTTACGAACAACCTCCATTCCTGAGGTGTTCGTAACTTTGAGGTTCTACTGTACAAACCTTCACAGTAATGTGCAAGCCAGTGGGGATATCCAGGAGGAGTTAATGTCACAAAGTGGCAATGTGGTAGATGCATTCACCAGCTTAAACCATATTTGGTCACTGCCAATGTACAACTTAAAGACCAAACTAAGAATCTTCAACTCCAAATATTAGTTCTGTCAACATATGGATATGAAAGCCAGAAATCCACCAGTTACACACATGTTTTTATGCTTTTGAAAGCAAATGCCTCAGAATTACCTAATACTAGGTATTAAATTGAATTAATTTATAACAAATGCTGAGATTTTTTTCAGAGTTGAAAAAACCCTTATCTTTAACGTTATCCAGAAGAGGAGATGGAAATATTTGGAACATGTTAAGAATGAAAACATAGCATCGGCCATGGCAGGCATGCCGTTGGGCAGCTGGAGGAAAGCAAACAAGAGGCTGACAGAATCTCTCTGAATGCTCCTCAGCAAGGGAAAACTTATGGAACTCAACAATATTGAGGATGTTCACAGTGTGGCTCGGGATAGATGGGTGTCAGAATCTAGTTTGTGCCCTAAGTGACGTGATGGTGTGAGAAGGATTCAGATTTAGAAATGAAAAATTCCATGAAATGTTGATTTCTCCCCCTTCCCTCGTAATTTGATTATAAACACATTTTAACAATAGTTCTTTTTTAGTTTAGATGGATAAATTTGATTTTTTTCTTTCATCTGTGATGTTTTTTCCTTTAGCATCGTTCATTATGTTAATTATGCTGGAACATGCATTCTGTACAGGATATCATTTGCTTGCTTGTTTATTTGTAACTTCCTTTGTTTTTTAGGCTGTTGAAAACCTCTGTTCTTATAAAGTGTCCCCTACACTGTACAAACAGCTCCGGCAAGTCTGTGAAGATCATGTGAAAGCACAAATTCTTCAGTTCAGAGAATATCCTTTTCTTGTACACAGTACAGTCCCATAATACTCTTAAAATAATTTTATATGGTAACACAACAGCAATTAATAATACAAATGTAAATAAAAGTGTAGATGTTATATAAGCATTCAATATAGATCTTTAAATCAGTCTCACAAAATGCTAGTTACCTGCTTGTCTTAGTTGAATAATTTCTGTGGACCAATAAAATATGAATAGCATTTTCATTGTCATGGTAAAAGTGACTGTCAGCAATGCTTTGTTAACCTCTTTTTAAACAGCCCTTACAGAAGGAGGAGAGTGGTTGCAGGGAGAAAGTTGTACAGCAGTCCAGCTCCCTGGCTTTGAGATAGGGTGTCGGGTATTTTTACCTTTCAAACTCTCTACATGCCACTTAATCCTGGTTTACACTACAGAGTTAGGTTGATGTAAGCCATCTTGCGTCGTCCTTTATGTGCATGTATCTACACTTAAATTTGTCTTCCACTGAGGTAAGTGATGTAGTAACACCACCTCCCCAGGTGGTGTTGAGCCATGGTCAATGTTCTGAGGTCAGCGCAGCATGAGTGTAAGCACTGAGGGCTTGTCTTCATTACTGGGATAAGTTGACCTAAATTATGCTACTCCAGCTACTTAGCTTAGGTCGACTTTACCCCGGTGTCCTCACTGCGCTGCGTCAATAGGAGATGCTCTCCAGTCGACTTATCTTTCTCTTCTCAGAGAGCTGGAGAACCAGCGTTGACCAGAGAGCACTCTGCCGTCGATTTAGCAGGTCTTCACTAGACCTGCTAAATTGACACACACTGCATTGATTGCAGCAGCATAAGTCTTCCTGGTAGTGAAGACAAGCCCTGAATTACCTATGTCAGCCCTAATAGTCCTACAGCAGCTGTGTCCCATAATGTCCAACACTGACTGCTCTGGTCACAGTTGTGAACCCCACTGCCTAGGGGTTACAGAGACTGGAATGCCCCCCTTTCCCTCTTTAAAGCCCTGTACATTTTTGAAATGCCTGCTCCTGATTATCCAGCTTGGCAAGCACATCCAGCAGCTCTTCTTTGTTGTGTGCAACTGTCCAGCTGACCGTGCCAGCTACATGCTCCAGATGCACTCCAGCTTGGAGTAGACAGGAGGTATAGGATTTCCTGGGCCTGTGAGGAGAAGAGGCTGTGCAGGTACAGTTGTGGACCAGCTGTGGAAATGTGGACATCTATGAGCAGATTGCCTGGAGGATGCAGGAGAGAGGGCCATGATACAGATCACCAGCAGTGCCGGGTGAAAGTGAAGGAACTGCGGCAGGCATATCAGAAGATTAGGAGGCCAACAGTCGATCCAGTTTAGAGTGTGCAGACCTGCCATTTTTACAAAGAGCTGCATGCCATACTCGATGGAGACCCCACTGCCACCCTGCACATCATTGTGGATACCTATGAGGAACCTGAGTCACAGACCCCTGCTGTGAACAGTGAGGGCGAGAAGGAGGGATATGCAATTGGCGGGGGTCCACCTGTGTCACAAGCCAGTACCTGTTTGAGAATCTACCACAGTCCAGTCAGGCCCAGCAGTTGAGCATGGGAAAGCCTGATACAGGGGAAGAAACTTCATGTAAGTGTGTAATTGTATTTCACATTCAATGATGAACTGATAAGCTGGGGGTACTATAGACCTTTCATTAATTTACTCCTACTAGAAGAGGTAGGGTTACAACAGAGAGAGCGTTGTCCCCTCTATAATTAGGTGTGGGGACGGACATGCAGAGCAGTTTATGTTCAGAGGGATGTCCCTTCAATCCTCCTGCGAGATCTCAGTGAAACTTCCATGGAGGTACTCTGCAATCCTCTCTCGAAGGTTTTTAGGGATCACAGTCTTATTTCTTTCTGTGCAATAGGACGCTTTCCCATGTCTGTTGGTAATATCTTTGGCAGGCATCATTTCTGTAAACTGGGTAGCAGCATGTGGGCCTTCGTGGCTTCAGGACGCCAGTGCTCTCTGTGCCTTTGTCACCCTCGAGCAAGATATCAGCTAAAATCACCACTGCCAATGGAAAAAATGGTGCCAGCATTTAGTGCCATTGCTCTATATGCATAATTTCATGCAACCGAACAATTCCCTCACCTCTGGTGGGTCATACTCATCACAGCTGGTGCTCTGAGTGGTGCTGTGCACAAGCACTCTGAAGAAGAAGTGTCAATAAGCGTGTGTTTAAAACTTTAGGGGAGCAAGGAAAGGGAGTTCTGAATCTTAATTTTCACTTACCATTATGACTGTTCTGGCAATGGTACCTCTGTGTATTTTATTTGTAGTTGCTGCCATTGCAGCCTTAAGGGGTTCCCCCTCTGCACTTGCAGGATGTTTGAGCCAGATCAGGAAGAAAAAAAGAGGACCCGGGAGGACATGTTCAATGAGGTCCTGCAAGCCAGTGCTACATCAGACCATGAGCAAAGGGCCTGGAGGGTGAATAATGCAGACAGCCTGGAGAAAGAAAGAGAATGGATAGGGGAAAGACCTAGGAGTCCTAGCAGGAAAAGAAGAGGGAGATACACCAGGACATAATGGGGCTTCTCTGGCAGCAAATACCGATGTTGCAGACCCTTATGGACCTAGAGGTTCAATAATCATGGGCTCACTTCCCTATGCAGTCCCTGGAGAACTTCATTACAGCAACTTCCTACATCTTCCTTCAACATTTTTCATGACATCAGACGCTGCATCCCTTCCCCTACCACTCTATCCCATGGGACATTAAGAACAACCACAGCTTCACATACACTGACTGTGAAAGCCACAGTTGGTATGTGTTTAGCTAAAATGGACATAAATGTTCTTTCTGTTCCATAACTTAACTATTTAACATATTTGCTTTTAAATAGCAGAAATTTTTCTTTGCACTGGTTTTGTTACTGAATAAAATTCTAATCTTTTGGCAAATATTTCATCTTTATTAGTTCACATCATATGCTGCAGAGTGCCTAGCAGTACTAAAAGCACCCACTTGTTATTGCACAGTGTGACACAACTCATAGGATCAGTGACACAGTATAATAATCATAAATGTACAGCAAACACCACAAAATTACACCAAGCACCACACAATTCCTAACAGGTCCCAAAAAGAACAAGGCCAGGTGGAGCACAGTACACCCCAAAGCACTAGTGTGGCTCACTCTTACAATATTCTTTCAAAGCCTCCCTGAGCCATATAGCTCCATGTTGAGCTCTTCTCGTAGCACTTGTGTCTGGCTGTTCAAACTCAGCAGACAGACACTCCACCTCTGCCTTCCACCCTGTCAGCATCTTTTCCCCCCTTTGCTTCACAGATAATACATTGGACAGAGCAGGCAGCTATAACTATTGGGATATTTTTTTCACTGAGATCCAATCTGATGAGTGAAGGGATGCTGGTGTCCCTTCAGTCTACCAAAAGCACATTCAACTGTCATTCAGCACCTGCTGAACCGGTAGTTGAATCTTACCTTCGTGCTGTCAAGGTGGCCAGTGTACAGCTTCGTGAGCAAGGATTAGTCTCTAAGGTGCCACAAGTACTCCTTTTCTTTTTGCGAATACAGACTAACACGGCTGTTCCTCTGAAACCAGAATCACTATGGTATTTCAACATCGCCAATGGTAATCTGCCAGTTGGGAAAGATAGTCCCTGCTTATAGCTTTCTGAACAGTCCTGTGATCCATGCACCTTCCCTGACCAGCCAACACTGATGGCTTAGGGAGAGGTGAGTTGCTATTGTATTTGAAGGGAAGAGTAGCCACATTTGGATTTCTTCATAAATGCTTTAATGGAACTCCAGAAAGCTTGAATCACCACTAGAGTCTGCTGTTGTGTGAAGTAGCCTCCACAGTAAATTCATGAAGATCTGGGATTTTAGGTGAATCCTGTGTGGGTTTAGTGAGGATTATGTAAGCCCTTGAAAGATTTTTAAAAGAATATAGCTGTTTGAACTATGTCTGATGTAAACCAGTTTAATGGACAAAATTGATTTTTAGACACTTCCTCTCACCTTTCCTCAATGGGAAGGAGAGTTGTGTTTGATATAAGGGGGACTCCTCCTTTAACCTGTCAAAGTTATGTAGTGCAGATGGAAGCTCAGGAGAGCAACATGAGGTATTCACTCAAAAACTGAGTCATGCCTTTGGAAGAGTTCCCAGCCCTCTGGTGGTCCAGCACTTTTTAGCAGCTGAACTCTGATCTCTAACTTCCAGCACAATTTCATTTGTGTCCAGAGAGCATCTTTACTGAATAACTTGCTGTACAAAAATGTACTGAATAAAGATAAAAATAAAAGGAATACTTGTGGCACCTTAGAGACTAACCAATTTATTTGAGCATAAGCTTTCGTGAGTTACAGCTCATTTCATCGGATGCATTCTGTGGAAAGTGTAGAAGATCTTATTATATACACACAAAAAGCATGAAAAAATACCTCCTCCCACCCCACTCTCCTGCTGGTAATAGCTTATCCAAAGTGACCACTCTCCTTATATTGTGTATGATAATCAAGACGGGCCATTTCCAGCACAAATCCAGGGTTTAACAAGAACGTCTCGGGGGGAGGAAAAAACAAGGGGAAATAGGCTACCTTGCATAATGACTAAGCCACTCCCAGTCTCTATTCAAGCCTAAGTTAATTGTATCCAATTTGCAAATGAATTCCAATTCAGCAGTTTCTCGCTAGAGTCTGGATTTGAAGTTTTTTTGTTGTAAAATAGCGACTTTCATGTCTGTAATTGCGTGACCAGAGAGATTGAAGTGTTCTCCGACTGGTTCATGAATGTTATAATTCTTGACATCTGATTTGTGTCCATTTACTCTTTTACGTAGAGACTGTCCAGTTTGGCCAGTGTACATGGCAGAGAGGTATTGCTGGCATATATCACATTGGTGGATGTGCAGGTGAACGAGCCTCTGATAGCGTGGCTGATGTTATTAGGCCCTGTGATGTGTCCCCTGAATAGATATGTGGGCACAGTTGGCAACGGGCTTTGTTGCAAGGATAGGTTCCTGGGTTAGTGGTTCTGTTGTGTGGTATGTGGTTGCTGGTGAGTATTTGCTTCAGGTTGGGGGGCTGTCTGTAGGCAAGGCCTGGCCTGTCTCCCACGATTTGTGAGAGTGTTGGGTCATCCTTCAGCTCTCGTCCCCTAACGCCCCTACTCGCGCTATATTGATGACATCTTCATCATCTGGACCCATGGAAAAGAAGCCCTTGAGGAATTCCACCATGACTTCAACAATTTCCCACCATCAACCTCAGCCTGGTCCAGTCCACACAAGAGATCCACTTCCTGGACACTACAGTGCTAATAAACGATGGTCACATAAACACCACCCTATACCGGAAACCTACTGACCGCTATTCCTACCTACATGCCTCCAGCTTTCACCCTGACCACACCACACGATCCATCGTCTACAGCCAAGCTCTGCGATACAACCGCATTTGTTCCAACCCCTCAGATAGAGACAAACACCTACAAGATCTCTATCAAGCATTCTTACAACTACAATACCCACCTGCAGAAGTGAAGAAACTGATTGATAGAGCCAGAAGAGTTCCCAGAAGTCACCTACTACAGGACAGGCCTAACAAAGAAAATAACAGAATGCCACTAGCCGTCACCTTCAGCCCCCAACTAAAACCCCTCCAACGCATTATTAAGGATCTACAACCTATCCTGAAGGATGACCCAACACTCTCACAAATCTTGGGAGACAGGCCAGTCCTTGCCTACAGACAGCCCCCCAACCTGAAGCAAATATTCACCAGCAACCACATACCACACAACAGAACCACTAACCCAGGAACCTATCCTTGCAACAAAGCCCGTTGCCAACTGTGCCCACATATCTGTTCAGGGGACACCATCACAGGGCCTAATAACATCAGCCACGCTATCAGAGGCTCGTTCACCTGCACATCCACCAATGTGATATATGCCATCATGTGCCGGCAATGCCCCTCTGCCATGTACACTGGCCAAACTGGACAGTCTCTACGTAAAAGAGTAAGTGGACACAAATCAGATGTCAAGAATTATAACATTCATAAACCAGTCAGAGAACACTTCAATCTCTCTGGTCACGCGATTACAGACATGAAAGTCGCTATTTTACAACAAAAAAAACTTCAAATCCAGACTCCAGCGAGAAACTGCTGAATTGGAATTCATTTGCAAATTGGATACAATTAACTTAGGCTTGAATAGAGACTGGGAGTGGCTTAGTCATTATGCAAGGTAGCCTATTTCCCCTTGTTTTTTCCTATTCTCCCCCCCCCCCCCCCGAGACGTTCTTGTTAAACCCTGGATTTGTGCTGGAAATGGCCCATCTTGATTATCATACACAATATAAGGAGAGTGGTCACTTTGGATAAGCTATTACCAGCAGGAGAGTGAGTTTGTGTGTGGGGGGGTGGGGGGTGAGAAAACCTGGATTTGTGCTGGAAATGGCCCAACTTGATCATCATACACATTGTAAGGAGAGTGATCACTTTAGATAAGCTATTACCAGCAGGAGAGTGGGGTGGGAGGAGGTATTTTTTCATGCTTTTTGTGTGTATATAATAAGATCTTCTACACTTTCCACAGCATGTATCCGATGAAGTGAGCTGTAGTTCACGAAAGCTTATGCTCAAATAAATTGGTTAGTCTCTAAGGTGCCACAAGTACTCCTTTTCTTTTTGCGAATACAGACTAACACGGCTGTTACTCTGAAACCTGAATAAAGATAATCACTAGTATCTGGACTCAAAAAGGTGTTGATGAACTAGTTTTCCTTAGCAGGTGTTGCACAGATTCTCTGGACAGTCTTTTATTTTTAAAGAAGGTAAATAAATGCTGGCAAGATCACTGCAGACAAATGGTAAGTTGACTATTTGCTCAAAATGCAAGTCCCTGAGACATCAAAGAAATCTGGTAAATTCTGGGGACATTGTAAAAAATCAGAAGTGGAGAGGGAGTTCAAACAGTCCTTCAGCCTTGACTGAAAGGGAATTTTCTTAAAAAAATCTAACCCCCCTCCCCACAATTTTTTATTTATTCATTTCACTCCAAACGGTAAGGGGGTCTGCACTTATCCTCCACTTGCAGTTTTTTTTCTGGGTACTTCCTGGTTGCTTATAAGCAGCATTCAACAGCTCTTGGGTGCTTCCCCAACCTATAAAATTAGAATGGTTCAAAGTTAACATTGAAAGAACAGACAAAACATTAAACTCACAAACACATGGATAATTTCCCTCAAATTGGTTTTGATATCTTCACAGGCAGAAATGTGATATAGGACATTGAGGCATGAATCACTAATAAAATAGTCTTAATTCTCCATATCACTCGTAATGTTTAAATGATAAGATAACGGCACTTTGCAGGGATGGCAGACGGGCAGTTACGAAAATGAAGGAACAAACTGGTTGGCAACGCCAATCTCTGCACTCCTGCCACCCCAAATTAAAAATGCTGCAGGAAAAATTACCGTTCAAAGGTTTTCATGGGAATTTTCTAAACAAAACAAAAGTATTTAATTTAGTTTTCACATAGTATTCTGAAAAGAAAATTTTATTTCCTCTTAAAATGATATTTTGCTTTGGTTTATGAAAACTAAAAATGTTTGGATTTTCATTTTTTAATTTTTTTTTCGTTTGGAGGTTTTATTCTCCTTTCTCTTTTACTTTTCCCTGTTTTCCACTGGTTTAGAAAAAGAAAAGGTAGGAGGGGAAGACCTCCAACTTATTTACTGCTTTCCTCTGAGAAAACGTTAAGAAAATATGTTTCTTTTCAACAGAACTTAAAAAAAAAAAATCCAGTCAGAAAATTGAAAAATTTTGTTGAAATTGGAGCTTTCCTGTGAACAGATATTTAGACTAAACCACATTTTTCCAGTGGGAAGATTTTTCAGTCAAAACATATTAACTACACATATCAGAAAGTGAAGAGAAGAGAAGGTGGCAGAATTAAACTTCTATCTCTTCCCTTCCCCCTCCACCCCCAAGAGTGCCAAGTTTCAGTTTGTGGCTTCTTTAGCCACTTCTAATGTAGGTTCTAGCATGAAATCTAAGCTGGGAAGAGGTCAGTTTTCCATATTTAATTTTTTTATAAAAGTTAAAATTGGTTGTTGGATGTGAAACTGTTGCTCAGCTAATGGGGGGTGAGGGGAGAGGTGGAAGGGGTCTTAAATAACCTACAGAATCTCTTGCTTAAAAAGAGAAGAGAGATATGGAAAAATTAAGACAACAGATATATTCATATTGATAATGAGAAGTATTTATAACCTTCCCCTATCTTCTCATCACTTTACTGGGAACTGATTTTCATAGGCAAAGGATATGTTGCATAACCCACTTTCTTCCCATCATAAAACTGCTTTTTAAAAATACATTTTTAATGTCCAATTAATAGCAGTACACCACTGCATAGTGTGCATTGGAAGTGTATTGGTGCACTTCTTGGGTGGTTGAAGAGTAGAAATAATGCAAAATATTATACCATCTTAATAGCTCTTAAAATTGACTACAGGGTTTGGAATTATTTGTGATACATCTTACAATACAGTTTGTGCTTAGGTAGTATTGGTATCAAGGTCTACAATTTTAAAAAACTTACCTTTTACAAATAATCTGATTTAATACATGTAAAAATTACAATGTGTAATTAAGATGTCTTACAAGTCAATTAACTAACACGGATTCTAATATAAAATACAATCCTGTGTGCTTGTAAACAGGCAAATTGATTCAATCAGTGTTTTACATTTGCAGATCATGATTAGAAGCATTTTCTTATTTTTGGATCGTACATATGTGCTTCAGAATTCATTGCTTCCTTCTATATGGTAGGTATCTGTGTAAGTACACTGCTAACATAATTGTTGAACGTGAATTTATTGTTTTTGTAAAGATTAAACTTTACTTTCCCCCCCACGATTATTTTGTTTTGTATATGTAACGCATGTAATATCTTTCATTTCTGTAAAATTCCCTGTAAATGTATGGAGTTAAATCATGTGTGAGATCAGTTTTTGTCTGGGAATGTTATATAAATCAAGTTATATTTCTGATTTTTTTAATTAATTTTTAATATTTATACAGGGATCTGGGGCTAGAGCTTTTTAGAAAGCACATTATTAGTGATAAACTAGTTCAAAACAAGACCATTGATGGAATCCTCCTCCTGATTGAACGGGAACGGAATGGTGAAACTGTGGACAGAAGCCTGTTACGAAGTCTGTTAAGCATGCTGTCTGATCTACAGGTCAGTATAGCAAACCTTACTAATAGCTGCCATGCTTAAAGGCAGACACAAACTGTGGACCTTTCTGATTCTTCTGGTCCTACAGGAATAACTTTTTTCTAATTAACATGTGCTTTGGAATTAAAACCATATTTACCATGTTTTTAGGATTATGATTAAGTTTAGTATCTATACATATAACTGTTCAGTGTCTGTCTATAGCTTAATTAATTTTCCACTAAAAATCTATTGTAGGTAAATTATTCAGTAAAATAAAACTGAACATGTCATTTATTTTTGAATACCAGTGGCTAGATTGAAGTTTTAGTTTAGTGAGATTTTTTCCAAAGAAAGTTAATTCCATCCTGTAGTAAGTCTCTAATAATACACTTAAAAATACTGTATCTGCATTAATGTGTCTGGTTTCAGAGTAACAGCCGTGTTAGTCTGTATTCGCAAAAAGAAAAGGAGTACTTGTGGCACCTTAGAGACTAACCAATTTATTTGAGCATAAGCTTTCGTGAGCTACAGCTCACTTCATCGGATGCATACTGTGGAAACTGCAGAAGACATTATATACACAGAGACCATGAAACAATACCTCCTCCCACCCCACTCTCCTGCTGGTAATAGCTTATCTAAAGTGATCACTCTCCTTACAATGTGTTTGATAATCAAGTTGGGCCATTTCCAGCATAAATCCAGGTTTTCTCACCCTCTTCCCCCCCCACACACACACAAAGTCACTCTCCTGCTGGTTAGTGAGTTTGGGGGGGGGGGGGCGCGGAGGGTGCGAAAACCTGGATTTGTGCTGGAAATGGCCCAACTTGATTATCATACACATTGTAAGGAGAGTGATCACTTTAGATAAGCTATTACCAGCAGGAGAGTGGGGTGGGAGGAGGTATTGTTTCATGGTCTCTGTGTATATAATGTCTTCTGCAGTTTCCACAGTATGCATCCGATGAAGTGAGCTGTAGCTCACGAAAACTTATGCTCAAATAAATTGGTTAGTCTCTAAGGTGCCACAAGTACTCCTTTTCTTTTTATTAATGTGTCTGTATCTTTGTATGAACTAATTTGGGTGGCTTGACACACATTTATAAAAGAAGCTTAAATAGGGATGCTCCTTTGGGTGGTACAAGTAAGTGGCCGTATTAGTTGTAACACCTATGCCTGTTGCTCCCCTCCAACCAAAAAAATCTGGGAAACCTCATTTTAATCCATATTAAAATGATTAAAGAATAGAAGTCTAGTACTGATTTCCTTTCAAAAAAATGAGTTGCATTGTATTGAAATGCTCCTTTTTGTTTTTCAGTGTGTCAACAGCAAATCTAAACTTGTCAGTTGAAAGTATTTGAGAACTCATTATTACGATAGACAAAAAGTTATCTCCTTGAGACACATGTGACTGTGTCCTGCTTATCGCTTACTCTGTCATTCTCTTCTCCTTTTGTCCTCTAAATGAGGCAATTTTGCTTTCCCTTTTTTCCCAGCTATAGGCAATGACTAACATAGGTCAGCAGAGCTTTGATATCTTAATTCTTAAATCATGGGTATGCAGCTCCCAAACAATATATGTCCACTGTAAATTGCTATAAATGAGACCAAATCCTTCTCATGAAGCATGTACCCAAAGGCAAGTCTCAGTCCTGGTGGTGAGAAAATTGACTTTGCTTCCAGACTTGAGTTTCTAGCATGAGTCAACGTTGCAATGTTCTCAAGCTACTGGATTGACTTCAGAGTTGTATTTTTAAACAGTGTAATTCTGTATTAAAATATGTGGCCTTTAATTGATTCAAAAGCCTTTTTTTTCCATTTAATCTTGACACAGATTAAATGTAATAACAAAAATATATACCACTGGCATATGTAAAATAATTTGGGCTTAGTCCAGATCCCAGTGGAAAAAGGTTTTGTGATGTAGACCCATCACCGCATTCTGGCCTCTCTAAGAGATAACCAAAAAAGATTGGGCATGAAGTCCAAGCATTCTATATGTGGACGCAGTCAAGATGTGATTTCATGGATTTTCATTTAGATTATACTTGAACAGGCGTGAGTGACCAAGTGGGCTAATAATTTTTGCACCTTTTATTCAGGTAAACTAGAGCCTCCTGTCAGCATTCCAGTCATGCTGTCCATTCTGTGTTTGGTACAACAAAGATCATGAGCCTCCTTTCATCCTTCCAGGAAATTCTTTAGCTTGGATCTCCTTAGTTTAGTTAGGTATTCCCTGTTCACAGGGTGTTTAAATATGTCTGAGATATTAGGGGAGGGGGAGAGAAAAAACCAATAACTATTCCATTTTCTGATAAGGCACTGCAAAGCCAATCTGGCTCAGTTTCTGCCTTTCATGCTAAGCCTCCTAACTGTCATCCATAACGGGCTCTGGTATATCTGGAAAATAAATGCGTAATAGTCCTTCTTTGAGTTAGTTACAATGGGTGAAGATAAGCTTCTGTCAGTCATTGACTTTAGACCATGTAATGCTCCATGAATGTCCATGCTGGAAGATGTGGAGCTGGCTTGTGTTCTCTTTTGCCAGAGCTTTCCCCTTTATTAGCCCAGGTATTCATAGCTGCATCACCTTTTTCATGTCTGTCAGATTTTTAAGAGGCTAGGGTTTAGTAGTAGTTTTTTGATCTCTGCTAAAGGTAAATATACCCCCTTTCTTGGTTCCTTCCGATCATGTGTGCGTTTAGATACGATTTTCTCCTTTGAATTATTTCAGACTGATACTTTTAGTTCTACTCTAGATAGCCTCTAATCTAGGTATTTTTACCATGGCTGCTGCTATAGTAGGTGAAATCCTTATAGATTCTCCAGTAAATAAACATGGATGGCTGTTTCTCCCTCCACATCCCCACAGAAAGAGGTTGGTTATTAAGTGAAGGCCAAGTTAATGAAATGAGTTGTACAATTGGTTTGAAAGCTGTGAGGCTGCTATTCAGTCTAATTTCCTTAGATATCAGTTCTGTAGTTGAAGGCCAGCTGCTGAGAAGGTTCTGTCTTCTGCTCACATGGCTCTCATTCTTTTGGCTGACTGTTCCAAGGCAGTGTGACTGCATGAGGTCATAATCCCAGAAAGTGGGGGTGTCCCTTCAGATATTTTGGGCCAGTTCCCATGGAGGGTCTTGAACATAAGGAATGAAACCTAGAATGTGAGTCGCTCTTCAACACAAAGCCAGTGTAAAGAACCAGGGCTGGGATGATGAATTGGTGGACTGCTGCACTCTCAAATGTTTGTAAGTAGTCATTTTGCAGTAGTCAAACTTAAAGCTTACAAAAGAATGGATTCCTGTGACCAAGTCTGAATTTGATCAGAGTGGGCTTCAATCTGTCTGGTTATCTGTAGATATAAAGAGTGTTTTTCACAGCTGTGGCTACTTCAGCATACATAATAGAGGAGTCTGACAGTCCGAGGGCAGATGCCCTCCATGGTGGGTTGATGTTACAGTAGCAGCAAGTTTTCAAAGTACTTTTCTCTCCCAACTGACATTGCCCTGTCTTGCCTGGGCCTAGTTTCAGCCAGTGGCTCTTCATCCATGTGCTGATATCTCCCAGGCATTACGATTACTAAACTCTGAAGCATAACATTTAATTTCACTTCAACAAAATATATCATTAATTATCATAACTAGATATTTTTGATATCCATACAAATCTTGTTAAGCTTCAGCAACTTCATGTGGCAGTGAGTTCCATGGTTTAATTGCACATTATATGAAAAAAATATTTCCTTCCATTGGTTTTGAATTTCTCACCTTTTTTAATTCCAGTGAATGCCCCCGGTCTTATGAGACAGGGAGAACAGAAGCTCCTGGTCTGCCTTGTCCAGGCCATGAATAATTGTGTATACTTTTATTCTGTTCTCTCTACTAGTCTCCTTTCTAAAGTAAACAATCCCAGTCTTTTCAATTGTGTTTAATATGATAGTGTTTCATTGCCCTTGATCATTCCTGTTACTCTTCTTTGAATCCCCTCTAGTTCAGCAGTAGACATTGAAGAGGGAAAGGATAGTCCAGTTCGTCTGCACCTCACTTATCTCAGTGAGCTAGAGCAAGATGACAGACCCCAGATTTCTTGGATGAAGATTATTTTGGAGACGGTGTTCCTAATTAGTTCAAGCATTTCACCGAAAAGGAGTCACCGGTTCTGTGCTGTGATTTCACTAATTTGGAGCTATTGTATTTAGTGCAGGAATGCTGGCAGGAGGATCAAACTCAGCTGGACTAAGGTCCCATAATTGTGTTATGTTGGTTACTGGTGTCTGTGTGATTTAAACAGAAGTCCATTGATTTAGACAAATAAGACACTGAATCCCTGATTGAAGCACGCTTACGATATATATGGTGTGGGAAAGCTCCCATTGCATTTGGTCATTCTGCACCTATTATACAAATAAACCAAGAACTTCATTATCCAGTAGTGTCACTGGCACTTTTCTTGAGGACAGATAATTTTGTGTCGTGGGATATTTTGTTTCTTTCATCTTGACAACTAAAAATGAAAAAGCCAGCCTTAAGCATGAGGTTAATAAGTAACTAAATTAATAATTTCATTTTTACCTAGGTTTACAAAGAATCATTTGAACAAAAGTTTTTGGAGGAGACAAATTGTTTATACGCGGCAGAGGGCCAAAGGTTAATGCAAGAAAGAGAGGTAACTACAGTGTGAATGAGCACTAGGAATTAATAAAGACAGTGGGGCCCAGTTCTGTACTGAGGTTACACATGTACACCTCCATGTACTTCAGTGTGAACTGCATTGGTGTGTGTGAGAGAGAGAGAGAGAATTGAATCTAGTGTGTTGAAGTATCTTTATGTCAGTGGTTTAAGTCAGTGGTCCACGGATGCCTAAGATTTCCAAAAGGGTCCATACCTCTATTTGAAATTTTTTAGGGGTCTGCAAATGAAAAAAGGTTGAAAACCACTGCATTAAGTGCATGACTAGAAGTGAGATAACCCAGTGAAATTTGATCTCCCTAAATCATGATGTTGGAGAGCACAATAGTAAGAGCTATGGACGGTATTGTCAACATTACTTCACCCAAGAAATTGTAGTGTGCTTCTACTGTCATTCCAGTCTTTCTTTGATTAATACCTAATTAAGCAGTTGAGTTTTAAAAAAGGCTTATTTACTCAATAGACTACGACAGTTTTGTTTTCTGTTCTTTCGGGTTAAAGCGATACTGTCCTGTGGACAGGCCACAAATTTAGACACTTCTCAAAATGTAAAACAAATAAGTGTCCCCTAGTTAATATAAATGTATTGGCTCTCCCAGACAAGGGCTGTGAAAGTTAACTAACTCACCACAAATATTCTGAAAGCAAGTGTCTACATGACACTGATGTAAATTGCCATGTCATACCTGTGTCTCTTAGCGTTAGAGAATAAATTAAGGATGGAATAATCCTATCTTGTCAGTACTCTGCTAATGTATAGTTAAGATAATTGTCATGATAAAAAGGTTATGCATATGTCATACTCCTTTGTGTTCAGTAATTAAATCATTGCATTCTTTTCTTTGGCTAGGTCCCAGAATATCTTCACCACGTTAACAAACGTTTAGAAGAAGAAGGAGACCGAGTAATAACATATTTAGACCATAGCACACAGTGAGTACAATTTTTCTTCCATTTTCAGTATAGGCCAAACCTGCTTGCTATCCATTCATAAAGTAATGTGATTATCCTTCGTTCAAAAGAAGGCAGGATTATTTCAATAGTATCTAAAAGGGTAATAATATTGAGCTTACCTATAACAAACTTTGTTTTACGAAGACTATGTATCTTGATTAAAATTAAAATACACAATAAAAAGAAAAAATGGGAGAGAAACTCATCTGGAAAGATCTAGCAATATGAGTTTCAGGTTTTTGAAATCTTTGGGTTATTATATAATGTATCATTTGGACTTTCAAAATAGTAGTTCGGTTAACCATTCATGCTCTCATCATGACATTTAGCTCAAACTGCCTGAGGGAAGGGAATGTGCTTTTTGCCTAATGCAACTGTTGGGTATCATCACCCATGAGCTCTATTTAAAATGGCAGTCCACTTTAATAAAAGTGTTCTAGGCTATATTTGGCATTTGATCGTGTTACAATGCTGACTTTATTAAAGTATATCTGTTATTTCTCATTACTTGAAATTATCTACTGCAATCTATGCTCTAGTGTATGTATAATGCAAACTAAAATATTTTTTAGACAGCTGCTATATATTATAAAATTGTAATGGGGGCCCTGAACCTGCAAATACTTACTTACTTGCTGGTTGATTAATTTTTACTCCACAGTTAGTCTTATCAAAGTCAATGGAACTACTCACATGTATGAATTTAAGAACATGCATAAGTATTTGCAGAATCATGGCTTTAAAGTGCAGCTCAAATAAAGAGTAGCCTGGAATTCTAACAAGGCCAATCTGTGCAGAGACTTATTGTGGGTCCTGGCTTCGGTCTCAGCTCAGGATGAAAGTCTGGGCCCACTGGGGGCCAGAGAGCTCTGTGAAGACAAAACGAGAAAGCCTTGCATAAATCATCACTGATTTCCTTTGATCCTTTTAAGAAGCAGCATTTACAGGATCTGAAGTGAACCTCATACCTTTAGTGATCCTCATACCTCAGAGTTTACTACCTTTCTAGATGTGTGAAGGGGGCAGCAAGAACATTAAAAAAAAATTAATGTATTAGATTTGTACTTGGAATAGATATGAGCCTTCAGGGACAAAAATAACATCAGAAATAATGGAGGACAAGATAGGTGAAGTGCTGATAGAGTACTCTCTTAATATCCTGGGACCAGCATGACTGTAACAACGCTGCATATCAAGAATAATGTCAGGTTAATTTAAACCCTTAAGTTAGGTTTTGTAAAAAACATATTTTCTAAAATTTAAGACCAATACAGTTGTTCTCTGATTTGTTGGCTTACAATCTATTAGTGTAAAGCCAGGATTTGGGTGTTTTGTTTTGCTTTAGGGTGCTTTTTTGTTGAAAAATTGCTGAATATTGCTCTGCAGTATTTTCAACCTAAGCATTGCAGCACTTTACTAGTACATAAAAGACAGAAAAGGAAACTGACCAGTCTTAGTCAAATGCAGTAAGTAAGTAATCTGCATTATAGGTGGAAAGTAGAGATGAGCCTACATTGCAAACTTCAGAACCAAGTTTAATATCTTCTCCCAGAGTTTGGTGGTTTGATATGGGGTTCTAATTCAGTTCACAAGTGTGCTTCTTTAACCATGAAACCTTAGTTCAGAATTTGGGTTTGAATTTTGAACCACACTAATCTGGGTTGTTCAGTTTTGAGGTTCCAGTTTAGAACCATCTCTTTTTCTATAAAAAGTAGTTGTAAATAAGAATCTTTAAAACTGTTCTAATTTTTAATATCTAATTTTAAGGTGTTACAAATAATAGCAAGAGCTTGTTTTTTAAAATAACATTTTAATTAGAATCTCCATTTCTTAATTGCATATATTTTTGCAGTATTTTATCTTGTTTATCCCTGTTAGAATTTTTTTGTATATGTAAAATACAGACTGCAAAATTAGAATAAACTGAAAATTTTCAATGTTTTGTCATGTAATAGTGGGAGTTATTCACAAAGCATCCTGATAAGAGAGTAATCGCCCTCAACTGTGCAGTATTTCTTATGTGCTTTTTCTTGCCTTACACAGGAAACTACTAATTGCTTGTGTGGAGAAGCAACTACTAGGAGAACACTTAACAGCTATTTTACAAAAAGGTATATCTTTCTTAGTTCTTGTAACCTGCACTGAAGGGCAGATTCTCATACTCTGCAATTATGGTAGATTGTACAACTATTACGTTAGTAAAGAATGTGGGCCATAGCAGCGACTTCCATGCATACTGAAAGTCAACGCCGAATAAAGTTATGTCAGCCACCAGTGCAAGAAGATTGTGTGTGTGAGAATATAAGAAGATTCTGATTAGTTTTGTAAAATTGTTTAAAGGTGGTTAAACCCTTCACCCCTACTTAGAGTGCCACTAGTCATTTCCAAAATAAAAAGTGCTAATGGCACAGGATTATATAAACTTCCAAAACAAGCACTTAAATTACTGCAGTAATTCTGTATAAATTACAGAGCACAGGTGGAATTAACTTTGTTTGATTGTCACTATATAATTTAAAGGATCTTTGTACAGTCAAATACAGCCGAATCCCAGTGAGGAAACCTGTTAAGCCAGTACAATATATATTCTCTCTTTGCATCCTTTGGTGCATCTCTGGAAATCTCAGATTTGTCCTACAGTCTTCTTCAGAAGTACTTGTTAAGTGATCAGTGCCTCTGATATCCATGTGTTTTTTTTAAAAATTAACAGGAACAATCATGTCAGTCTTCTTCTTTCACTGGATTTTTAGGCTTGATTGATGTTTCCTGATCTAGTATACGTTTTGATCTAAAATATCTTCTCTGTTCTTAGCTCTGGGTGATCTTTAGGTTCTGGGTCTTCTGGCAACTTAGCCTCACCCCTCTTTGTTTCCTTCATGTTTCAATAAATGTTCCTCCCCTTTTCCCCCACTTATTCTTCCTTTGTTTTCCATAAAATACTTGGGATACTTTTCTCAGAACTTCTGACATTGACTTCTTTTAGTTCTCTGCCTAATCAGATGAAAAATTATCTGCTTTGGTCTACTTTACCAGTCTGCCCCTTTCGCTAACTGTCTCACATGTCAGTAACTTACCCTCAGAACCCATGAGTATTGCTGACTAGAGGTGAGTGAATAATTGATTTTTATTTTTTTTTTTTGGTTTGAGGATGAATCAAAATATTCAGGGGGAAAAAATTCAGTTTGGTTTGAAGCAAAACTATTTTTTTCTTTTTTTTTCTTTGCTGAAACAAAAAAAGAAAAATATTTGATTTTGGGTCAAACAAAATTATATGTTCAATCCAAAACACTTTTCACCCGGTATTTTATTTCAGGTGTTTTTCACCCATATTTTTGTGTGTTTTTTTTTAAATACAAAATTTCCAAATGAAATGCTATTTTGAAATGAAAAGTCAAAATATTTAATTTCAAAATAGGAAAAACAAACTGTTTTTTGACATTTTTCCATTCTGTGGACCAAAATTCAACCTGAATTCATAAATAGTTTCAGTAACCCCAAAAAAATCAATGTATAGCCCAGCTCTGTTACTTGCTGTCAAGCTATCTGTAACTGACTAGCTGTCATCCTCTTCCAGAATTTACTTCTTACTGTATCTATCTTGCTCTCTGTCAGAGGGCTTCTAGCACCAGACTTCTATTTTTTTTTTTTAAAGCCCTAAACTGTTTTCTAACCTCCATCAGTGTGTGAGTCTATCAAGGTGGTTTGTATAATTGACCTTTCTCATTTGCTGTGCAACAACCAAACCATTATAATGTTTATATGCTGAATTAGACATCTTACTACTTCTCTTCCTCTTTCTTTGTCCCTATTTTAATGATATAAATATACTTGTTCAATCTTCGGCCTTCGCTGAAGTGCTTCATTTTATTTTAACTGTTTTATTCCATCTTAAACTTATTTTGAAATACAGGGGTTTAGATAGTTAGTTCTCTTGTTGATATAGGAATTGATGTCATTTGTCAAAGTGTTACTTTAAAAGGTTTTCACAGTGACTTTTTTATGTAGCAGACATCTGAGTAAGAAATGGTATGCAGTCGTGTTTTAATTCTGAACTCTTTCCTAGTTTATAATATATATTAATTGTCCCCATCTATGTGGAGATATGTGCAATTTTCAGAATAGAATTGGTTTTTATATTTACATTTTGAGATTGTGATATTTGTAGATTTAAATTAGTTCAGCTTTCACATTCTGTATCTGCACTTAGACTTACCCAAATTTAAATTTTTTAACACCCATTGACTTACATGACTTTTTGCATTCATTTGATCTAGCAGCACATTATAATCTCCTTAACATCCAAGCGTGCAAATAGAAGAAGACACTATCTTTTGTAGGTTTTGTTCCTTAGGAGAAGGCATGTGGTGTAGTCAGCCTGATACAGGAAAATAAAAGCTTAAAAATGCTTAAGAAACTTTTCTTGTATTAGTACAGCTGCCACTGACCAGATGTTGGGTTTTTGTCTTGTGAGCGTAATAAGACATTCCAAGGCTATAGCAGTACTTTCAAGAAGTTGGGTGCCGCCTTCCTGTTAGAGTAATTTCACATATATTTTCCTTGCCTATCAAATGTGTGATATAACACAAGTTGTCTGATATGGTCCAAGCACATGAGATGGAAAGAAAAAGGGAAGTATTACTATATTGGCTTGAGGGAGCAGGGGAGGTTGTCACCATATTTGACTTTCCTTTTAACTGACAAATATTGAAAAAGAGAGCACTATGAGATGAAATCGGTTGTTCATGTGCTGAACAAAACTAATAGATGGGTGTGAGACTTCCCTGTACTGTTTAGTTGCTGCTATCTCTGACTTAGGAGGAGGCTACCCTCTGATGCGGTGGAGTATAATTTTCTTCATTGCCCGCTACTCACCAAAGAAAACCTACCATATATTTTCAAGACATTGTAATCTATCTATTTTAGGTGTTTTTATGGTTTATATTGCTGCAATAACTAAAGACTAAGCAAGCTAGTTTTATTTGCATTTTCTTATCCAGCATCATCCTTGAATTGCTTCTCGTTTATTTATAAAAGTAGAATAAGTTCCTGGCCTTTGTAAAAGTAGACTAAGTTACAGCACAAAATGACAGTGCTAGTAAGAATTGGATGATTCAGGTTTTCAGGAATTGATCTGAACATGAGATAATTCAGCAGTATTTGGAATCAATTCCAATTTGGAGTCATTACCAGACATCCAATTAAATTTCAAAATTCATAAATAGAAGTGTATGTGTAATATGTTAGAACATGACACAAAACCTGAGTGTAACATCAGCTTAATTGGTGAAATGAATTCTGTTCTAATTTGGGAGGGGATGCATTAGTAAAGGCAAAAGTTGAGCCTTGAAAGAATTTGTGGTAATTTGTGTAGATACTTGTCAGGGTTCCTTCCCCACTCTGGGGTACAGATGTGGGGACCTGCATGAAAGACCTCCTAAGTTTATTTTTACCAGCTTAGGTTAAAAACTTTCCCAAGGCACAAATTCTGCCTTGTCCTTGAATAGTATGCTGCCGCCACCAAGTGATTTAGACAAAGAGCCAAGGAAAGGACCACTTGGAGTCCTATTCACCCAAAATATTCCCCCAAGCCCTACATCCCCTTTCCTGGGGAAGGCTTGAGAATAATATCCTCACCAATTGGTACAGGTGAACCCAAACCCTTGGATCTTAAGAACAATGAAAAATCAATTAGGTTCTTAAAAGAAGAATTTTATTTAAAGAAAAGGTAAAAGCATCACCTCTGTAAAATCAGGATGGTAAATACTTTACAGGGTTATCGGATTCAAAACACAGGATTCCCCTCTAGGCAAAACCTTAAAGTTACATAAAACTGGGATAAACCTCCCTCTAGCAAAGGGAAAATTCACAAGTTGAAAACAAAAGATAATCTAACGCGCCTTGCCTTATTTACTTACTCGTTTTGTAATATCAGAGACTTGTACAGGATGGTTTATAGGAGAAGGAGTTTTTTGACCTGATGCGTCTCTGCTTTCCCCAGAGAACACACCAACAAAGCCTTTCCCACCCCCCCAAGATTTGAAAGTATCTTTTTGTCCCCATTGGTTCCTTTGGTCAGGTGCCAACCAGGTTATTTGAGCTTCTTAACCCTTACAGGTAAGGAGGAATTTTAGGCTACCGTTATGGTTATGACAATACTATTTTAACAGAGTTTATGCTAATACTTAACACAGGAAACATAATCACCACAGCACCCCGAAAAGAAACTCTCACAGGATATATATTTTTACTGCTCTAGAGGTGGGGCAGTTTTTTTAGTTTACTTACTGATCTTCTGTTTAGTTGTGTTAGATCTCCCGATGAAAAGTGCTGTATAAAAGCTAGGTATTATTATTATTACTTTACAGCAAGCTCTCAGTAGGCAGCAGCTGGTAGGAAAATGTAAATACTTTAATTCAAATCAGTTGTTTCTTTCAAAAATATTTTACCACAAACTGCTTAAGCCTGTATAAATACAGACCTAGATCCATAAAGGGGACTTAGGCTCAGCTTTGGAATGCCTGACTTGAGGCTGTTGGTTCCCCCAAGTGGCAGGGCACGTAAAGTTAGGTACCTAGGCTCCCTATACAGTGCACGGGGAGAATTAGTTACCTAAGGATGGAGTTCCCAAAAGCCAGGATTCTTATCAAGGAGCCACCGCAGCTAGTCAAGAACAGAGCGGTAGCTTAAGCCCCAATCCAGAGAGACTTAGGCATCTCTCTCTACTTGGAATTCACAGACATGTACCCTCTCCTGGAGTTAGAGCTGATCTTTCTTGCAAAAAAAGAGGTGGTAGGGTGCCCTCTTTAGGCCCTATAATGTACTGATTAGAGCACTCACCTAGGATGTGAGAGACCTGGGTTCAAACCCACACTCTGCCTGATTTGGAATAGGGATTTGAACCCAGGTCTCCCATATCCCAGGGGAATACCCTAACCATTGGGCTTTGGAGGATTCTGTGGTGGGCTCAGCCCAGTCTTTCCTGTTGAAGCTGTTCCACTTCGTATAAAATAATTAAATGTTTTTCGAGGAGTGTCCCTGCGCATGTAATGGGAGATTTGTAGTAGCAGTGCCTGGTTGGGTCGCATATGCGTTGTCCCCATCTTGCGCCATC